CAAATTGGCCAAATATACAAACTTTGAATATCACAATTCAAAAAAAAAAAAAATAAACACATTCACGAACATTCATGAATAAGACATTCATGAATAGCAACCTCGATGGGAGAATTCAACCAATCACATGTTTTGCATATTATAATTAGATAAGACCGGCACATACTACTCGATGGGAGATAATATGCCTCTTAAATTAACATATTAATGTGTGAGAAAATATTACATCTGATTCATGTCACTAATTAATTTACTCAGATGGAGAGTTAAATCAATACAGACAAATTAGACTAGTTCAGTAATTATATTAAAACATGACATCTTCCGATGGGGAAGACATGCAAATAATTACAACTAGAAAGTAAAAAAAAAAAAAACCACTCACAAATTAATTCATATAAAATAAATTTAATTGATAATCAAAATTGGCAAAATAATATATTTTTTAAGAACAATTTTGCAAATAAATTAACATTTTTTGGTTGAAATGTTAAAATTTAGTGGTTCTGGTCTATTTATGCAAAAACAAATAAAATATTCTGGTTTATCTTGCAAAACAGAAAAAATTCTGGGCCATTTCGCAAGTTTCAGAAAAAATTGGTTTGGACTAATTCTTGCATAAAAACAAGAAAACTATTGGGCCAAAATTGCAAAACGAAATAGTCAGGAAATTTTAATAAAAAATCAAAACATCAGGGTCACTTTATATTTAAATAACTCCAAGGGGCCAAAACGGAATAACTGATACTTTCTGGGTCAAAAAATATAAAAATTAAGGTCCCAGAGGTTAAAATATATAAACAGAAGATCTAAGGGTCAAAAAAATAAAAACTTAAAGATCAGGGGTCCAAAATATAAAATTTTAAAAAAATTGAGGGACCAGATGGGAGTTTGGCCAAAGCAGCAGCTTCTTCTTCACGAAGAAGCCCTAGCGCCGCCCCTTTTCCTTTCAACCTCATTATAGCCGCTGCCTTTTTTTTTTTTTTTTTTTTTTTTTTTTGCCCCTCTACTGATCTTCAAAACAAAAACAAAAAAAAATTTTATTTTTTCGTCTTTTCTTGCCCCTCTCCTGTTCATCGAAACAAAACCCAAAATATTTTTTTTATTTCTTTTTTTTTTTTATATTAATGCCCATTAAAAACCACAGTTTCAAAAACAAGGGTTGTACCAGATACTGCACTTTTGTGCTACTGTCCTTCAAAACCTCTTGAAGCTCTCTTGTAACCATGTACCAATCAAACAATCAAAACAGATTATAGATACACGATTGAAACATGACAAAATAGCCACCATCATACAGTTCGGTATGGCTCTGAATAACAAATTGATGGGAGCGGGTATAAAGGCGGAAACAACCCTTAACGAAACCATATGAGGCAAACTAAAAACATTATCGAACAAATCCAATAAACTGACCTTTCTTGAAGCGTAGAATCGCTCACCAACGGTCTTCTTCCAAGAGATCTTGGAGTCAACCCACGATCTTCTGACAGTAATCCTAATCCCTAACTATCTCTCTGAGTGGCAGAGAATAGAATAACGTGCGTCTCTCTATTCTTAGGGTTTTCAAATCTTATATTAAAAAAAACTCTCTTCGATAGAAAGATATTTTTTTTTAATATAAAATAAATTAAATAAAAAATTATTTAATTAAAATAATTATCAATTATTTTAAAACTGAATAATTTATCTATTATTTAATACACCCTTAACTTTCCAAATAATTAGGGCACTACAGGGACCTCAGGAATAAAATAAATCAGGCTACTAATTATAATAATAACCTATGTAGACCAACATATTCTTATTATAATTAATCATGAATTATTCCACTTATTCCTAAAAACTCATGACTGAACTCCTTATTTAATTTTACAATTCCCAAACATAAATAAAAATAATGTTCGCCCACGGTTAGATACAGATGCTGGTCATAGATGCTGTCATTTAAATAACTTACTGACAATTTATTTAAATCACAATATAACTTTAAGATTGTCGCTCAACTTATTTCATGTGTATTCAATATCCACCTATAGGATTTACACTATGAAACCTTATAAACTTACTTAAAGTGCATCATCAATCTCTAAACCGAGACATGGATTCTATCATTAATTAATATTTCACAAACACAATATATCTTTGCCCAATTCACCGAGAACATTATTCCAATAATGAAACTCACCCTTTAATGAATCAAAGCACAAGACAATCAATGTTTGCTCATATTAAAATAAATCAAGATTAAGAACGATAAACATTATTTCTAATGTCCTAGAGAAAACAGTCATTACTAATTAACAGTCAGACTAAATATCCATTCTCTAGCTTTGGTCCATTAAATACATACAAAATGTACTAATCACAAAATATTGTTCATATGCTAATAAAATTTATATGCTAATAACATTTATTTAATGCAAATTTTCAATTAAATACAAAGAAATAATTGTCAATAGAAAATCATTCATAGCTATACTATTACATATGCATGGTTAATAGTATATCTCTATGAGTACTTACTCTGATAAAATTATATTTTGCTGAGTTTTCCTCAAGAATGTTTTATCAGTTTTTATATGGATGGTCAATGACCATTCCATTAAAACTAATATTAAATGGCACGAGTTACATAAGAAGTAGATGAAAGGTGTGTTTGGTGCTCTCTTTTTTTTTGACGTATATATATATATATATATATATATCTCCATTTAAATAGTTAAAACTTTAAAACTTTGGAAATTTTTCTTTGTTGATTATTTTGTTTTAATCTCTGCAAATTTTTTTTTAAATTAATGCTTTACGTATAGTTATAGTAGATACAGTCAGATAGTGAGAGATTGGAAAAAACCTGAGTGAGAAAAAAAAAATGGATGAGAATATTAGGATGTGTTTACTTGTGTTCAAACATGAATTTTAATTGATTTTATGAGTAAAATGGGAAAATTTCTCAGAAAAAGTAGCAAGAAATGAAGGAAATGAAAAAGGAGGCTGTAGATAGCTGTCACACTCGACTCCAACCACTAAAAGAATAATTCGCTATGGATCAAACCAATTCCATCCCATATTGTATTGGGAGACTCGCATGATTTTGTCTGTAGGTGAAATGAGGAATTTTCTAGGAGGTCGCCCATCTTAGTATTTCCGTTAAGCAAACATGTTTAACTCTGAAATTTTTTCAACTCTCTAAGTCATTCCACCAAAAGGCGCCTCTGATGATTAATTTTTCACTTTTGGATATATGATCCGATTTATTCCTGCGTCCAATATTCCACTTCTCATAGCTAGTCTACCATCCTAAAGCTAGCCAGGAGATTTGCTCTACCCACCTTCTTATGATCGTTTTTGTCGGGTCAGGATGTCACAATAGGGCTGCACATAACCTGTTATAATACAACCAACCCGAGCGACCCAACCTAATCGAATTCAATATGGCAGGTTTGAAGATAAAATGGGTTAGGTTGGATCGCGGGTTTACTAGATAAATCCGCAAACCTAACCCAACACATAAGTAAATTATGAATTATTTAATTGATTTGAATTGATTTGCAATTTTGAATATAAATACTAAATTATTTACATATTTAGTAGATAATACATTTGCTTTTGCAGTATATTGTAATATAAATTAAACATATTATATAATTATGTTACTAAGTATTTTTAATTTCACTAGTCTTCTTTTTTATTAGAAATTTAATTTTTCATTGTTGATTATGATCATAATGATGGAAATTTAATTTTTCATTGTTGATTATGATCATAATGATGATAAAATGAACATGTTAAGAAATTTAATTTTAATATTGTCATTGAAATATATTTGTAATTTGTGAAAATCATTGTATAATTAAGATTTTAAGTATATTTAATTTTTTTACTAATCATCTTAAAGAATTGCATTTTATTTAAAAATAATAATATTATTATTATTTATTTAACCCGCGGGTTATATTTACCCAATCGAACCCGTTTATAACTCACGGGTTCACATATTTAATGAATTGGGTTGGTAAAAAAAATTATTGATACGCACATACAGATTAAATACTTTAAATCAATTAACCCGACCCAACCAGACCCACATGCAACCCTAGTTAAAGCTTCTTTGCTTGCGAAAGGAATCGTTGAGACTTGGCAAAAAATGTTATAAGATCTAATGTTTTCGGTTGGTAATGGCCTCTCTGGCAAGACCACTGGCTCATAAAGGGTAAGGTTCTTTACGGGGAGGGCCTTGTGGAGGTTCCTATTGAGCATGTTGAAAATTGTATTTCTGAATATGTTCTTAAGAATGAGACTTGGAATTGAATTAAATTTTCATCTTTCCTTCTTAATTCGATTCTTACTTGCATAGCTGATGTCCTTTCTCCTTCTATGGAATGAGGTCCTAATCAGATTTTTTTGGAGATTTAAGAGTTAAAATGTCAATTTTCTGTTGAGTCTGTTTATCAGTGGCTAGCAGGTCATATTAATGCAGGAAATCATGGGGATTGGCCTTTCATTTGGCGATGAATGACCCTCAACGGATTCATATTTTTCTCTGGTTAGCTCGTCACAGTAAGCTATTAACCAATGATAAAAGAGTGAGGAGTCACTTACGCGAGGATCCATATCCATTGATATTGCAACGAAATAATAAAAAATAAATCATTTGAAAAAAGTAAGTTATTTTTTGAAAACAAAGGAAGTCTAATTGACAAAATTCACAAGGGAAAATATATTACCAGTATGTATGTATATGTTCAAGGCAGAAATATAAATTAGGAGGTAAATTTTTAACAATTAAATTCAAAAGGACAAACATTTAAGAGCGTACTTTAAAATACTGTAATTTTACATTTTAAAAGAGAGCGATGTGCATATACCAAGAAATAAATATTATTTATTTAACCATCTAGAGCAGAGAGTCTCGTGCAGCAATGCATCCATCCATTGAATAATTATAATAACCAAAATTTCAAGAATCAACCAGCGCGAGTGTAGCATTTAATTTGGTATAAATAAAATAAAATTAATTTTGCTGATAAAAAAAAATTTCAAGAATCAACTATTGCACTCATGGCCGTTCTCTCTACATGCTTCAAAAGAATCCCATATATTTTATTCCTAACTCTAATACAAGCCTCTAATTCAGAATCCTCCAATGTGGATTTGTCTTTCAAACACAAATCTAACCAATCACTCACTTTCTTTATTTGGTGCATCATTTCAGCTACTTGTTGGCTATCAAATACTGTAGAACTAGTTTTCCTACAAACCCATTCTAAATAATCCTCAACATAACTGAAAAACCATTTTCTACATTCATAATTCAATGAATTTACCATTTCTGATGATACAGCTAAAGCAATTCCTTTCACCCAATTTTTTTGGCTCTCCATATTAATCACTATCTCAGGTAGCAATTCATGTTTGCTTGTTTGCTTCCTGAGAAGTAATGTGCTTTTTGGTGTATTGCTATAATTTGCTGTTTCAGGAGTAGTTGAAGAAGTTGCCAAGGAAATACCAGTAGTTTTTGAAGGATCAGAAATTGGGTTAAGGTCACAGTCTAATGCTGCTTTGATCCATGTAGCTGCATTTTGCTTTCTATCTACTGCAATTTTCATGGCTTCTTGAGGAGAAATTGGATCGGTTAATGATTGGAAAATTAATTTTGTTTGCGACAAATCATCTTGAAGATTGAAAAATTTGTCCATTGATGGATATTGATCATCCTTCTTGCCTGAGATAATCTCAGAGTAAACACTGAAAAAATGAGAAAAAATGGTTACTTAAATAATTATTTTAACAACACACAAAAAGAAGGCCCGACTCCAAGTTGTTCACTACCTAATTTTTATCAACATCAAAGATTAATATTTTAATAAAAGGTAGCCCCATTGCCAAAAATTATTTATATTTGTTGCTAGTATTAAATTTCAGCCACAAGTTGCATACCTTAGACATTTGAGCAATTTTTCAGCAGCAGAAGCCTCTAATAAAGCTTCTACAGAAGCAAGCAAAGAAGTTTCTCTTTGCCTTGAGACCTCCTGCAAATCAAATATAGCAAAATTTTTAAAACACAATCGTTAGAGATAACAAAATACTTTGAACTAAGATTAGGGTCAATTAAATTTAAATACCTGGCCAAGTTTCACTAAAGATGGAGGAAGAAAATCCCATGATATATCAGTATCTGTTGACACAATTGTGTCATTTCTTGAGCTCAAAGACACTGTTTCGTTCTTCGAATCTTCGCTTAGTTTTGTTAACATAGGGATACTACTCTTGCTGGAAAGTTTGGAAGGTTTAGTAGTTACACTAGTGAGAGTTTTCTTTGTCACAGAGATTGAGTTATCATCAGAGCTATCATTTCTAGTCGAATGAGCCGGCGAAATCTGTAGATTAAGAGTGAAATTATGTATCATATGCGCATTAACTTCCATAAAATTGAATTTATATTTGTAAATTGAATATTTGCAATCATATGAAGCATGAAAAAATAAAGTACAAATGAAGTTAATGAAATGAGAAAAGAGAAAAAAAAAAGGCATAGAAGCACTTACAGGAACACTAGAACCGCAACAATTTGTTTTGGCCTCAGGCTTGAGAAACGTAGTGTCTGAAACATCCTTTGAAATTCCTGTAGCTTCCTTTCCACCCCAACTTCTTCTTTTGAACATAGGAGATGTAGAAGAAACTGAGATTGTGCTTTCTACATCACTATCCTTCACATTTCTAGGCTTATGCTTTCTAGGAATCTTGTAATGAGTTTCGATATCAGTACTCCTTTTAGTCCTATAACCACTTGATACACTTTCTGTATCGCTCTTTCGAGGCCTATGAATCGAGGATTTTCTACTTACCCTCTCATTCGAGCTTCCTGATCCTCTAAAAACATTGCTAGAACGAGACTTTTCGCTTAGCTTCTTCTTTAGTTTATCATTAATCTCTTCGAATGTCGAACTTAGGTCTTCAGTCTTCCCATTCTCGTCATTCGAGCTTCCTTTCGAAGAACTTAAAGATGTTTGAGACTTTTCGTCTTGCTTTTCTTTAATCATATAATTACTTTCTTCTTTCATCAAACTTATGACTCCTGATCTAATTGTTCCCTCCTCAGAACTTGCATCATTTGAGCTTATACCTGAAGCACTAAAATATAAAGATTTTTCCCTTTGTTTTTCTTTGATCATACAATTATTTTCTTCAATTACTACATTACCTGTGCTTCCCATTTGACCTACAGGCTTTTCTATTGGAACTTTTATTTGATCATTCGTAGAATCTAATTTAGACACACCAAGAAATTTTTCTAAATTATGGAATGGAATAAGATCTTTAGGAGCACCAAGACATGGATGCCTACCTTGAAGAGGTCTAATGCCTTTAAGCAATGGAACAGGATATGCAGCTTCCAGTTTTTCTACGTATAAATATTGCCCAATATGCAATTTATCACATAGAATCATATCATCTTGTTCTTGTGGGAGAGAAACATATAATGCATGAGATATATCAGCAACTCTTAAAAGGAATCCTTGATTTGGCCAAAGATTACCTTCTCTTAAAACTGGAATTATGCTTCTGATTTGTAACAAAACTGGTGTATGATTATCATGTATTGGGTTTTGATCACCAACATTCATCTCTTGAAGAAATTTCACTAGCGATCCAAAACTTAATTCTGCCATTTTCATCATCAACTGTTGTCAAAAGAAAAAAAAAAAAAAAAACCAAGAAAGATTATTTTCTAATTAAAAGACTATGTATAGTGTAACCAAAGTTCAAAAATGGGTCTCTGAATCATTGAAATGAAATAAATAGAAATGAAGAAAATGGATTAAATTTGAAATGTAGAGATGGGTTTTTGAGATTTGATTGTTTTGATCAAGAAAATGCAGGAATGAGTGGTTTTAGGGTGTCAAATGGCATATCTCTGAATTTGCTCTTTCTTTTTTTCTTTTTCTAGTTTCAAGATTTGGAATAGGTCAATTTTGGGGGTTATTGTATTCAAATTAGTGACAATTGGAGATTGTCAAAGGGATGAGTTGATAATGGTTTGAGAACATTTAGGTCTGTAAATCTGCTAATCTTGGATGTGAGAAAGGTAGTTGTAACTGATAATTTATGGTCCACTAACGTTCTATTTTTATGTGAAACCTTATTAATTGGACACTGTGCTGTGACAATGGGTTTGTCGTGTTGGGCCTTGGGCTTTTCTAATTTCACCCCTTCTTTAGATGATATGGATAATAACGTCTTTTTCTTCCCTTGCATGGCAAAATTTTTCAGGTCATGTGCAGGAATAATTATAGGGTGAAACAGTAACATGTAAAGCTTCCCTATGCATAGTGTACGCTGTAAGTAGCAAAAACAAAGACAAAGTATATGTTTTTATATTTAGATATATATATATATATATATTGAAAAAAAAACAGGACATAATACGCTTAAGACACGAATACTAAAAATATAAATTTTTTTATGTTTATATATATATATATATACTTCAATTATTAATTTAAAAGTCCATAAATATACTAAATTATTATCTAATAAATACTTAATCTCCTAACATTTTAAAAAAATTAAATAAAAAACATCCGTAATAAATCAAAAGCATGAAATAAAGAAGTTCTAATTTTTATGAATTAATCTTGTGAACAAAATATTAAGTTGAATTTGAAATAAAAAACTATGCAATAGGTCTTAAAGTAGCAGTCAACAATAATTTAGGTTTCTTCCTTCTTCATATGTATTTTCAATTTTTGAATTTAAAGTTAAATAATTATCTAATTTACATTTAAGACTCCAATTTAAAATTTTAGTTAATAAATTATGAATTTTTTTAAAAGTGTCTATAAAATATTAAAGTGTCCACATAGTGTTACAAAGTGTTTTTAAAGTGTTTAACATTAAAAAAAAAATTTGAAAAAAAAATATTAGAATACATTTTTTAAAATATTTGACGTGTATCTGGAAGGTGTCAGATATCCGACACGAGTATGCATTACTTTTTAAAAAGTCTATGTTTCGTAATGTATAGACTCGATTATACACAAGTCAATTCATGAAACTTAAAAAAAAAAAATGGTTACAATTTTTTAGTAAGTAATTAGAAATAGTTTCATTTAAATAAAAAAATTATTTTTAATTAATTTGGTGCGTGGATATATCCATACGTAGGAATAATAGAAGTCATTTCCATTAACAGCAGTATAGCAAAACAGTTGAAATCACAATTGAATAAAAATAGGATACCTGTCAAAGTGAGACAAAAACTTAAAATATAATTACTCTTAACGCAAAAAATTTTGAGAGTTGGACTTCATTTATATCCCATTTTCCTCTATCCCTCTCTCCCTTTCTGTTTATTATTACTTCTATATCATCATCATCATCATCATCATCATCATCATCATTTTTGACTATTAAGTATATGTTCTTAGACCAAAACTTTAAGAGAAAAATTTATATAAGAATTCTAAACTATAGAATTGAGATGTAGAGTCAGAGAGTTCTATTTAATTTGGTTTAATATTATCAAAATTGTAAAAAGAAATTGTAATATTACAAGTTAAAATCTAAATAAAAAATCAAATTAATAAAAAAATAATTAACATAAGGGATTTATAGAATCACATGATTACAATATTACTTGATCACCAGTATTTGCTTTTGCAACCAAACATAGTATCTATCCACCTATATAAATATATAAAAATAGAGTCCTGAAATCTAACACGTGGCATTCTCTTAGAATTTTAATTTGCTAAGATGGCGTAAATTGAATTTTATAAATGTTATGATAATAGATAAGGGAAGAGTTATAATTAAATATTTCAATAATCCATTAATTATGATAATTAAAACTTTAGTTTATAATTTTAGAATTTCAAAAGTAATAAACTTTACAATTAAAATTTTGAATTACCACATGTAATTAGGATAATAAATTTTTCAGTTTATAATTTGAGAATTTAAAAGGTTTTGAACTTTAAGGTTGATATAAATTTATATTCATGCATAAATTCGTTCAAAAAAAATTATAGTTTAAGGGTATTTGATGTTGATGCTTTCAAAAAAAAAAAAAACTCAAAAAAGGCGATAATATTATTGAGAGGCTCTTTTACGGTATGTCACCATTGTTACACTTAAAGTGAATTTTACTATATATTAATAATATGGTATTTGATTTTCCTTCTCTTGCTTTATCCTTTTGTGGATAGATTATTGAATATTTTGATCTTTTTTAATATTTAACTATTATAATATGAGCATTGACAATTTCGAATTTGTGCACATTCCTCACTTCCTTTATAATTTGGTTCATGTTTGGATATTGATTTAATCATTAATTGTGACTCTCGACAGAAGAATTTTAATTTTATATATATTTTATTACTCTAACATATGCATAATTTATGTATTTTATATGTTTTTGGATTTGTCATTTATAAGAGGTGACTAGTAAACAGTTTTCATTTTTTGAAAAAATTTTCATATAAAATAATAAAAATATATAAATTTGCATAAACCGCACGGGTACGTGACCAGTTTAAATAGGTATTACATTCTCAATTACGTTACATTGTTGAGTGCCAAGAAATCCTTTTCATATATACAGCTTTATAACCGTTTGTACAAATAAAGAATATAAATTCCTGGAAATGGGTACGTTGCGAGTGTGACGATTTATAAGTTTTTGGATCTGTGTAAGAAAATTATGAAGATTTTAAGTAAATAGTTGATTGTTCTTTATAACCACCTTGCGTGCATTGTCTTTGACAGTTGTTTATGACCATGCTAATTTAATAAAATTATATTATATTTTTTACTCATTGGAAAGGTTCAATAAGTCGAATTTTTCAATCTTCGACACTAATGAGAAGACCAATCAGTCAACACCTGATTTGATATTAATTTTAATTTTATATGTTATGTATATGTCTTGATTAGTCGTTTTCTAAGGTTGGGGAATTGTTTGGGCACTCACAAATGGCTGAGTTACTTTTTCAATCTCATAATTAATTGCATTTAATTGATATTTCTTACGGGAATATTATTTTTATCTAATTTTTTATTTTATTCATTTCTTTAAAACAATTTTTTTCCTCGCATTATTAATTTCATTTCTTGTCGGTTTTACAGATTGAATTTGTTATAGAGCGCAAAGAAAATTTTAAAGAATTTTAAAATTTCTTCTTGAAAAATAAGAAAAACTACAAAACAATACGAGTTTGAAAAACTTTAAAAAATAGAGATAAATAAATGGATATTTACTTGTGCTATCATTTATTGAGTATAATTATATTTATTTATTTTAATATTTCGACGAAATTTTATGTCGAATACACTTAATTGAAAAAAAAAAAAAACAATCTATCAAACACTTGTCACATTCCAATTATGAGAATTGAAATCATAAAAAGAGTAATAGATCATTCCTATTCAAAGTTGTTACCAACAAGACAATAAGTCCAATTACTATTTGTTGTTACACGTTAATAAGTGAGTTTGGTGGGCCATGCAAAATGTTGGATTTCCTTTGAAGGCACCCTTCCTTAGTGTCTTTATACACATGGTAAACTTTACTTGATAGAACACACTTTATTGTTATCAATTCCATCATAGCACAGCAAAAATAAGAACAACTCTATAAGGTTGTATTAAAAGATCAAATATACAATCTCACGCAAAGTGAAAAACAAAATTGAATGAAGCTATAATAATTATCATAATTCTAGCTATGCCCAATGTTGTCCAGAGTGCAAGATATAGATAAAAATTGATGAGTGTAAAATGAGAAAATACCGAAAGAATGTGTTTGTAATAGTCTGAAAATCAGATGATCATTTTCCTATTTCTATACACTTATTTATAATATAATACAGACCGTAACCGATTAAATAAACCTTATGGTAAGAATCTAAGTCATGAATGTCGAGCAAGAATCTCGGTCATTAATAACCTTTAATGACTCTGTTTAACTAAATGTTACACTGAGCGTTACAAAGTTTAGATACTACTCGAGCTTTATCTATTCGGGCTTTGCCCACTTGTTTAGTCTTCGGCTCGTTTGGTTCATTCGGTTCAGATCCTTTTATTATAAAAAAATGATGTTTTATTTTTGATAATAAAAGAGAAAAAAATAAGTAAGAAGATTTTGTTGGTATGCATTCCATTCATCCCAAAAAGATAGTCCATATTTTATTTTTAGTTTGTACTAAAATATAGTTCACTTTTCTTTTTTTGCATTATAGTTAATTCATAAATTATCTACTATCCCCTTATTAAATTTTATCTATTTTTACTAACCTTCATTAATTTTTATTTATTATTTCAATGTATAATAATTATTTATGTGTTATTTAAAATGAATATAATAAAAATGTTATTCCTTAATCTGCGTGAAAATATAAAATAAACTGTATTTTTAGGACACAGGGAGTATATAAAAAATTTTATTGTCCCAAAGAGTTGGCAAGTGAGTTTACTATGAGCGAAAACTAACTTGTGAAACTATGTTATCATTAAATAAAAGATTCTATTATTTTGTTTTATCTTATCGCTAAATAAAAAATTTTATTGTACCCAGTCAGTAAAAAGTTTGGACCATTACTCAAAAATTTGCTACAAAGAAGCTTTTGTTTTGCCCAAGCATCCTAAATGTTATCATTACTTCGTAATCCTTACCTCAAACCACAAGCAACCCACTTTTTCTTTTCTTTTTTTTTAAAAGGGAAAAAAAAAAAACAAAAGAATGACATTAATGAAAAAAAAAAAAAAAAAGAAACTTCAGCTATATATAAACTCTCAATTCACTACTAATAATCATATATCGATTCAAAGAAAACAAAACAGAAAATCAAGAAACCATGAAAAACTTCCGACTTCCCTTAACACTAATACTTTCAATATTTCTCCTAATAATAAACCCTATTGCCCCACAAAATTATGCATGTGACCAAAAAAATCCTGAGACAAGCCAATATGCCTTCTGTAATACAACTTTGCCTTATCAAGACCGAGCCAAAGATCTCATTTCACGTTTAACACTTCAAGAAAAGGTGCAACAATTAGTAAATCATGCAGCAGGAATTTCCCGGCTAGGCATTCCGGCGTACGAGTGGTGGTCAGAGGCATTGCACGGAGTATCAAATGTCGGTTATGGTGTACATTTCAATGAAACAGTGCCTGGTGCCACTAGCTTTCCTGCAGTGATATTATCTGCGGCTAGTTTCAATGAGACATTATGGTTAAAAATGGGGCAAGTGGTGTCAACCGAGGCTCGAGCCATGCATAATGTGGGTCTAGCCGGGTTGACATATTGGAGTCCTAATGTTAATGTGTTTAGGGACCCAAGATGGGGCCGTGGTCAAGAGACACCAGGAGAGGATCCTTTTGTGGTCTCAAGATATGCAGTGAATTATGTTAAAGGATTGCAACAAGTTGGTGAAAGTGGTGATGAAGATGACGATAGGCTTAAGGTTTCAAGTTGTTGTAAGCATTATACTGCTTATGATATTGATAATTGGAAAGGTGTTGATCGATTTCACTTTGATGCCAAGGTATCAAATTAGTATGAAACCCACTTAAACCTAATTCTACATGGTGTGCTCTTATTATAAAATCGAAAATTGATTTATTAGAAATGATCAAGTCTTGTGATGATTGGAAATTGTAATGAAAAGGAATATTTGGGTTTTGGCAGGTGACAAAGCAGGACTTGGAGGACACATATCAGCCACCATTTAGAAGTTGTGTAGAGGAGGCACATGTGAGTAGCGTGATGTGTTCATATAATAGGGTTAATGGAGTTCCAACTTGTGCTGATCCTGACCTTCTCAAAGGTGTCATAAGAGGCCAATGGAATCTTGATGGGTTAGTAGAAAATGGACTTTGAAAGTAATGATTTTCTTTTTCTGCTAATGTCATATCAGTATTCAAATACAGAGTCTCGTTTCTTATATACCAAAAACAAATTCCTGGCTAACAATGAGTTCTTGGATTTTCTTGTACAGATATATTGTCTCTGACTGTGATTCCATTGAGGTTTATTATGACAGAATCAACTATACTGCTACTCCTGAAGATGCAGTGGCCCTTGCCCTGAAAGCAGGTACTAGAAATTAATTAATTGCCCTTTAAACCCATAAATCAAAATCTATTTTTTCAATTTTTTTACTAGGCTTTTACTCAACTGTGAACTCACAATTTCATAGTCAGGTACTACTAAACCAAAATTATCCTATCTCCCTAAAAAAAGCTTAAAGATTGGTAAATGGAACTAGATATCATTTTCAAACTGTGAGCAGCAAGTTTTAAATTTTAGTAAGAGCCAAATTAATTGAAAAAAAGTTCAAAATTGTAATTTTTTTAGTAATTATTTTCATCTTCTGTGATATGCAGGTTTGAACATGAACTGTGGGGACTTTTTAGGGAAGTATACAGAAAATGCAGTGAAATTAAACAAAGTAGAAGAATCCATTGTTGATGAGGCCTTAACTTACAATTTTGTAGTCCTTATGAGACTTGGTTTTTTTGATGGGGATCCAAAATCACTCCAATTTGGAAATCTTGGACCGTCTGATGTATGCAGTGATGATCATCAATCACTAGCACTTGATGCTGCGTTACAAGGAATAGTCCTACTAGAAAATAAGGGAGCTCTTCCTTTATCAAAAAACAATATAAAAAATTTAGCCGTTATAGGACCTAATAGTAATGTCACTACAACTATGATAAGTAACTATGCAGGAATACCTTGCCAATACACTACCCCGTTACAAGGCCTAACAAAATATGTATCAAATGTTACATATCAAATTGGGTGTAAGTCAGTAAGTTGTAGTGATGACACACTTATTGAGGCCGCAACTGAGGTTGCGGCTGTGGCTGATGTGGTAGTGGTGGTTGTAGGGCTCGATCAGTCGATCGAGCGAGAGGGATTGGATAGAGAGAATTTGACATTGCCTGGATTTCAAGAGAAGTTAGTAATGAGTGTTGTTAATGCAACAAAAGGAACAGTTGTTATTGTTATTATGTCTGCTTGTCCTATTGATATTTCTTTTGCTATGAATAAGAGTAAGATTGGTGGGATTTTGTGGGTGGGCTATCCTGGTCAAGCTGGTGGAGATGCTATTGCCCAAGTCTTATTCGGGGACTATAATCCAGGTAATTAATCTCTCTTTTGCTATCTTCATATGCCTAAATAAAAGTAGGATATGTTTGGTACCTTTTTATTTCTCAGTTTTATACAATTTTTATTATTTAACACACACACTAAAAACTAGTTTGACATTAAGACTTCATTTGTTTTCTGAAAATAACTTACATATAGAAATACATTTTCCAAATGACTTATTTTCTGCTGTTTGGTTGCAATTTGAAAATTAGTTAAAATATTAAAATTTTTAACTCATAAGACCATAAAAATATAAATACTAAAAATATAAATTTTGTATTTTAAAAATTTTATATACTGTGAGAAAAATATAAATTTTGGTATTTGAAATCTTTTATTGCCTTAAAGATAGAATAATGGGCGGAAGAAATAAAAAAAAAAAAAAAAAAGGGTGTTAAATTATGAAAGTTTCTGTCTCGGTTGGGGCCAAAAAAAAAAAAAAAAAAAAAAAGGGTAAATTATGAAAGTTGCTGGCGGTGGTGGCCAATGGTGGTAGTCGACGATGGTTGGTGGTGAACGGTAAGTGGTGGTAGTGACTACTGATGATTAATAAATTAAAAATATAGATTTATAAAATTATAATAAATTTGTCAAAGTCCAAAAAATGTTATACGCTCTTAAAGATGAAAAGTCATTTTCCTGAAAAATGACTTAATTTTCTTTTGACCAGAAAAATATTTTTCGTTGACTTGTTTTCCTCAATGCTCCCAAACAATGGAAAATTAAGGAAAATATTTTTCTTAAGTTATTTTACGAAAACAAACGGAGCTTAGAAATTTGTTGATTTTAGTCATGGTTAATGCTTAGAACAAACCTGCATACTAAGAATCCTTTTCTGTGTGTTTATTTTTTTAGCTGGAAGGTCTCCGTTTACATGGTACCCACAAGAGTATGCAGAAAATGTGCCAATGACAGACATGAATATGAGACCCAATACAACAAATAACTTCCCTGGGAGAACTTATAGGTTCTACACAGGAAAATTTCTATATAATTTTGGTCATGGACTAAGCTATTCAACATTCTCGAAGTTCATAATTTCAGCTCCATCAACTCTACTTATTAAATTAAATTCTGATGTCAAAATCCTTAATTATAATATTCTCTCAACTGAAGAATACCCTAACCCAAGTGGCCAGACCATCGATGTTTCAACTGTGAATTGCACAAATTTAGTACTTGTTCTCACCATTGGAGTGAGAAACTCCGGACCAATGGATGGGGATCATGTTGTGCTAGTGTTTTGGAAACCTCCTAGCACTAAAGAGATGAATGGGGCACCAAATGTAGAATTGATTGGGTTTAGTAGGGTGGAGGTAAAGAAAGGTAAGACTCAAAATGTGACATTGACAATTGATGTTTGCAAGAGACTTAGCCTGGTTGATAGTGAAGGGAAGAGGAAGGTGGTGACAGGGCAACATACATTTGTTATTGGGTCTGCTAATGAGAGGCAAGTGAGACACCATCTTGATCTTAGGTTGAATGAAAGTCAAATTGATAGAGACATTGTTTCTATCTAATGATTGTTACAGTCAGTGCATGAATCTCTTTGCTCTATATGAATTTAGTATCATGAAGTTTATGTATTTGATATCAATAGCTAGCTAATATTAATATATATTGTATATGTTATGCTTTGTAACGGATGCAGCTATAATATATATTTTTATATATCAAGGAATTGCAATTTTGATATTGCTTTAACTACTAGAAAATGTCCCAAAATATTTGTAACGTTTCTAAATTTAGATATGTAAATAATTTTTTTTGTTTCGTAATAACTTTTACAATCCTTTACTAAATGAGGGACTTTTATTAATATCTTTAATAAGTTAACGGTAAAACACGGTAAACTAACTTTTGTTGACTAAATTTTTGTCAAACCATGCAAACAAAATGGGACGAATGAAGTATAATGTATTAATATTGTATGTGTTGTGCTTTTGTAGCCGTTACAATTATATTTAGTGAAGCATATATTTTTATATATCCAGAAATTGCAATTTTGATATTTCTCTTATGATAACTAAAAAATGTCAAAGAACAAAAAAAAAAAACAAAATGAAAAATAGAACATTTTCGATAGAGGAACGGCTTGAATTTAGTATCATAAAGTTTATATAAATTTTATATATATATATTTGATATCAATAGCTAGCTAATATGATATGTTTATATTGTGTACATTATGGTTTTGTAACTAATAATGTATACAATATATATTAATAAATACGGTAAATACGGTATATATACATATATAGGTTCGGAATATATACTTATACAACATATATATAAGGTATATATACGCATGTAAAACTAAATTTACTTATACAACATTATATATGAAATATATACGCATTGCTAAAACTAAATTATATAAATATATATATATATATATAATATATATAATAATAAAATGATAATATATATAATATTCCAACTAACACATTGGATCAGACCAAGTAAAATACAGATAATAAGTAATTAGATATAAAATATATTCCAACTAACACATTGGATCAGACCAAGTAAATACGGTATAGTATTAATATAAATCTAAACAGAATCGAGAATCCTACTTTATTTCTTTAAAGCATATATTAACATTCATGGCGGTGACAATTTTTCGACGAGCATTAAGCCGCTTACATGCTTATACAAAAATGAAATCACAAAAGAGAATCGGAAATCTAAAAGATAAAGAAATCTTAGAAGAATAGAGACGACAAAGGCGGTAAATAGATCCAAAAGGTAGAGGAGAAAAAAAGAACATAAAAAAGAAATGAAAAGAAAAGACAAAGTGAACGCCTATCATTGAAAGAAGAAGAAGAAACTAAAAAAAAGAAAAGAAAAGAAAGCAATCACATACTATTGAAACAAGGGAAGAAGAAGAAGGAACATCAATAACAAACGGTGGGCTAAAAAACATCCAAACAAAAAATAAAAGCCATTTGATAAAAGGACAAATAAGTAAATTATTAATAAAACTAATATTATTTTAATTATTTAGCTAAAAGTGATATTTTTTAAATCAAAGTTTCAAAATTTGAGATCTACTATAATGTTCCATTTTTATATATCAAGGGAATTGCAATTTTGATATTACTCTTATGGTACTATAAAATGTTAGAAAACGAAAAAAAATTGAGAAAAATAAAATTTTCGCTAAAAGAAGGACTTGAACCTTTGACATTGTGGTTAACAGCCACACGCTCTAACCAACTGAGCTACTTTTTTAAAAAAATAAAATGGTCAATCACCACAAAATCGGGAAAATTAGAAAAAAAAACAAACAGAAAAATAAATGAAATAAATTTATGGTTTCGTTTACATAACTAAAAAAACAAACAATCAAAATCTAGGCTTTCTGATTTAATGGTAAATACAGTATATATATAGGTTTTCTCGATATATATGCATATACAATATAAGGTATATGCAAGGTATATATTACGTAAAATTAATTAAATACATAATATATATACACACCAACTAACACATTGGATCAAACTGAGTATATATATATCCTTACCCGTGGTGTCATACCATGGTAATCCAATGGATAAAGTAAGGTTATTGGAGACGAGAATAGCATGTTGGATGATGTATGGTTGTAGAACATGATAGGGGAGACCATCGTATGCTTTTTGTCTCGCGGGGGCCATTATGCTGGGCCGAGCCCTGGTGAGCTAGGATGCGGGCATCATACTCTATCAGGAAGAGGTGGTATCTCCATAGGGAATGAGCTCTATGGACTTTATAAGACCAAAGGCCTATAGTGCGCATCTCTCCACAGTTGAAGGTTTCAGTATAAGCAGTTCTATGTGGCTCGGGATGCCCAAAGGCTTTAAGCTCATACACGGATATGCAAGACCCATATACATATGGCAAGATGAGCCTCTAAAGTCGGATACTATGCTAAGACCCTTGAAATATGCATGGCTGGCCTAGATTATGAGCTAAGTCTAGGCGTCACACGAGTGTCAAAAGCTATGAAGCCCTAGTCCCATGACATTTGGTATATATATATATATATACTGTATTAGTATTAACCCAGACAAAATTGAGAGTCATACATTGTCTTTTCAAAGCATAAACAACATTCATGGCTGTGACTGTTTCTTGGCGAGCATTAAGCCGCATATACAAATATACAAAAACGAAATCGCGGAGGAGAAATGGAATTGAAAAACAGAAAGAAATCACAGAAGAATAGAAATGACATAGACGGTGAATAGATCTGAAAGATAGAGGAAAACAAAAATGAACAGAAAAAGAAACGAAAAGAAAAGATGAAGAGATAGCCTATCATTGAAAGAAGAAGAAGAAACGGTAAAAAAAAAAAAAAAAAAAACATACATTGAATAGAAGGAAGAAAAACGGTAAAAAAAAAAAAAAAAAGGAAGCAATTACAAACCACTATTGAAAACAAGCAGAAAAAGAAAAAACATTAATAACAAAACCGGTAGGCTAAAACATATCGTAATAAAAAAATAAAAGGCCCATTTAGATAAAAGCTAAATATGATGTAGTTAAAATTAATAAAAAAAAAAAAAAAAAAAGGAAGCAATCACCTACTATTGAAACAAGAGAAAAAGAAGAAACATTAATAACAAACGGTAGGCTAAAACATATCTAAATAAAAAATAAAAGCCCATTTAGATAAGTAAATGATTAGTAAAATTAATATTATTTTAATTGTTTAAATAAAAGTGACAGTTTTCAAATTAAAGTTTCAAAATCTAACATCTATTATAATATCTTATTTTCATATATCACTTGCAATTTTGATATTACTCTTATGTACTATAAAATGTCAAAAACGAAAAAAAAATTTGAAAAAATATCAAATTTTCACTAGAAGAAGGGCTTGAACTTTTCAACCTTATGGAGGTCTTCACACTCTAACCAATTAAGCTACTCAAGCTACTTATTTTAATTTCATAAGGTTGTATACTTAGATTTGTAAGTTCAACACTTTGGTACCAACATTTACGATAACTTACATATATATAAACTATTGAATAATAATTTAGTGCTAAATTAATCAATTATCAATTCATTAAGTAGTATCACAAATACTAAGAGTATGAAATTAAATTTCCAATCCAATTTAATTAATCAGGAAAAAGGTATTAAACAAACTAACCCATTTTTCACCATATAAATATGATTTTACCAAATCTCTTAGTTGGTACAAGATTTGCTTTTATGTGTCATTATTCACCAAAGTACTCAACAACCAAACCAGCACAAACATATTACTCATCTCCTGCAAATCATGTGTCATATTCTGGGTTTGTACAGCAATAATTACCAAGTATGATGCCATTCTCTCAACCTACAAAAGAATCTTGACCTTTTCTAATCTTAACCATATAAAAAAAAGGTTAAATCTTAAATCTCTCATGCATTCTTTGTATGTTCTTTTAACAAGACCAATTCAATTGAAATCAAATCACCATATATAAATTAATTGATTTATTTACTCAATTGAAAAGAGCTGACACAGTTCTAAAATCTTGCAAAAATGAAAGAAAGATCAAAACTCACAACAAGAACAATGGCCTTCTTGCTCATTATCTTAATTCTTTCTTTCATAGTGAATTCTCTTGAACTAGCTCATTCACCATCTCCTGCACCAGTAAGTTCATTCTGCAACTTTTATTATATATCCTTATTTTCAATTATTTCTGATTAATATACGTTAGGGCTATCATTATCTTTAAGGATGTGTTCAGAAACTCAAAGAAAAATACACGAATTTAGTTCAATCTTAGTTTATTTATTTATTTTTGAAGCAAGCATAGTTTATTATATAACCATTCGAATTAAATTTTATGAATACGATTGAATTGAATACTAATATAAAAAATTCTTGTGACGGGTTTAAAATGATTTGTATATTTTCGTAGATGGGTGAAGAGCTAATAATGGCCAAAGAACTGAACCTGTACAGAGGAAGAGCAAGAAAGGCAATGAGAGGATCATTTCCTGCTAGATGCCATTCAAAATGCAACAAATGCAGGCCTTGTATGCCTGTTCAAGTATCCATAAGAGCAATGGAGTTGAAAGAGAAGGAATACTATTATCCCCAGGTTTGGAAATGTATATGTGGGGATGGCATATTCTCTCCTTAATTTTGGGATGTGAAATAATTATTTCTATGTAACAATAAAATACAAACTTAAGTTGTTGTTGAATTTCTAAATATATAATAATTTATTATAAATATTTTCATATATATTGTGGTAAGGTTTGAACTTAGGATCTGCACCCCTTTATTTAAGATCATTGCTCCTTTGATTTCAATGATCAATAGTTTGATTCCTTAATTTTAGTCATTTTAGCAATAATTGACTTCAATTTCAAATTTTTTGACTCTAACTTATTTGTTTCATAGATTGTTTCTGTTGGACAAAATGATTTTGTCTCAAATTTTGATAATAATAAATGATTGTGTTACTAATAATTTCAATTAAGTATTTGTGATTAGTAAGTTAACAAAGAATATCAATATTGCCAAGAGTTTCAAATATTTCAGAAGTTACAAGTCAATAATAAGATTTTTAGAATTTTGTAAAATTATTTTAGCCTGAGGTCTATTCCTCTCAATTATTTGATTTGGCTTAATTTTAGGAATTTTTTTAAAAATTTCTTTTATGACGTTAAGATATTTATTTTAAAAATTATTTTTGAGTCAATCACCTAAACATTGTAGTTAGAAATTTTTACAAAAGGTTTTGAAAATTGCACTTGGTTGGAAATCTTTTAGAATTAAAATTTTTATGAAAAAATAAAAAAAAAATCTCAAAAGGATGAAATGGGATGGTAGTGATCTCTTCTCCCTTAATCAGAGTTATCGAGTTCAAGTTTTAAATATAAAGTCTCTTTAAACACTCGAAAAATAATATTTTACCCCACTTGTTCAGCTCAAATTTAAATTAAACGGACTAAAATCAAAGAAAAAAGAAAAAAAAAAAACAATATTGTGTTCATAAGGATGAAAAGTGAAACAACGCGTAGAGCCGCATAAATGGATAAGCATTTAGTCAATTACAATGCACTCAAACGTTGGACGACACGATATTAGATATTATTAATCAAAGTCAAACTTGTATTTCCTAATTGAAGTCAACTTCGCCTAACCCTAAGGGCTATTCGACCTAACCCACTAACGAATTGATATTAATTTAATTTTTCTTCTACACTTTTTCTTTGATCAAAGTCTTAAGAAATTTAATTTCATGCCTCTTTGACCTAAAATTATTTCACCCCAAATGACAAGGGATCTTATGTCACATATTTTTTAAAATTGTCTAATACAAGTACTTAATTTCAATATAATTTTTTTTTTTTGTCTTTCTTTGTCGCAAGAAAAAATTTGTTGATTTATTTTCTATAAAAATATAAGAAGTGAAAAGTCTTATATTTGACTGTTTTTGGCTATATATTTGTAATTGACTTCATTGCTCAATCCTACGATCACCAGAGTAGGATCTAATGCGTTTCAATTACTAAATCAAGCATTCTTGGGTGTTCATTAATTTTAATTAGTATTAACTAATCTTCGACTTTTAATTAGATTTTTTTTTTTAAAGAAAATTATTGTAAATAGTTTATGGTATGATTTTCGTTTAATAAAAGATATGAAATTGAACTTTTGTTTTTGAAATAATATATAAAATTCAACTCTAAATCGAAGGATTCAGACAAAAAATAATCTCGATAAGGATTTGACTTTAAGATGATATACATCAATTTATTGATTGCAATAGTAAAATACAGTACATTTTCCTAACACATGATGATGTTTTCTTTTTCATTCGTTGCTATATACAGGAATTATTATACACTTTGCATTATTGGCGGCCGTTACAACGGTCTTAAATCTATATCTATCAAAAACAGTATAATTCTTATCAAGCTCATTAAATGACATTGTCCACAAGAAGAAGAATACAAATAATATTTAAATCATTACATATACATGAATTGAATCTGAGGTCCCAGGGGCATCTCCCTTACTACTAGAACAGGGTATTATTTGCACGCATGATGTTTGATTGGGTTTTACGCAGCTGTTTAACGTTACCAGCAGAAGATTTTTCAAAGAAAAGTCTCATTTGACAATTATGGGTTAGGTCTTTGACCAAATATCATATTCCTTTGAACTTATCTGCCTAGTAGCTGCCTCATCCATTGTTACTTGTTATGAGCCAAAACCCACTATAAAAATAGGTTTCTTTGTCACAATTTAGTGCATCCATACCCAAAAATCAACATCCACAAAGCTTTAGTATTAAGGGGGGAAAAAACAAAAAACAAGAAGACATAATGGAAGGTTTAATTCCATATCTTCTTCATGCAATGAAGAAACAAAAACCTCATAATAACTACAGGTCTTTCTCTGCAGGCTCAAGCCGTAGCTACCATTTGTTAGTTGGAGGTGTTGATTCCGTCAGCGGCTCATCTCATCGGCGAACCCGATCGGACTTTCAGCCATCAAACCTGGATTTCTTTGAGCAACGTTCTGGTGAGAATCTCCGGTCGAACAGTTTGATAAAACGCACGGCGAATTCTCCTGCAGTAGCTAATGGATCAACGTTTGGTGCTAATTATTATAATCATCAAGTGAAGAACAATACCAGTGTTTCTCATCTTAGGCAATATTAATTAAAAGATTCAAAATGAATAATTTGTTTGACATTAATTGATTTTTTGTATTGTTTTGTTAACTTATTGTTGTATTTCTTTTTTTTTTTTTTTTTAATTTTATTCTCACAAGATAATTGTATGATATGGACGATGGGTAACCATCTTTTTTTAAGGTAACAGAAATTGTATATTTGATTTTGTAAATGTACATGTTATGGTTTTCAACTTAATTTACAAATGTATTTGTTTGTTATGTTTGGTTAGATTGAATTGTGAAGCTTTGTGGAATCCCTTTAACTTAATTTATATTTTCTTTAATCTATTTATTTTATGTCAAAATTATGTTATTTTGGAAGAATTAGGTGGTGTAATTCCTTTGAGGTATTTCCGCAGTTGAGGCTACTGTTACGATCTGTGTGAGCGAAATTTGGTTAAACTAAAAAATTAAATGGAACCAAGATGAATTAAGTTTGATTTTCGATTTAAAAGGATGAGATCGGAGGATAGAACTAGTCTATTTAGTTTATCGAATAAACCCAAAAAAGATTTAATATCCCAAAATGAAGAATTTTAGTATTCCTGTTTCGAAGAAGAAACAAAACCAAAACCCTTGTTTTTCATTCTTCACTGACACCCTACACGCACTAAGGGTTTGAGTATCTCATTATGATTTATGATCTGTTATCTATTAATGCTCTCTTTGAAACTCTTTCTAAATTTGATTGGATTGTTTCTTATGATTTGATTAATTGCTTTAATTCGATATATTATTAGTTTTGTTTATATAATTACCTTTTAAAAGGAATGCTAGATGGGGTGTGACTGTTTGTTTTATTTTAGGCCTAACGCATAACATGTAGGATGAGAAGAGTGTTTCAATCCTCCAATAAATATGTCACTCGCCATATAACCACGTAGGATGAGAAGACCAAATCTTGATAAGAGTATCTCTAATGCAGTAATAGATTGCTTTAATTTATTTTTCACGTCTGAAAAATTGAAAGTTAGAAATAAAAATCTTCTACAATATTTTTCTCCAATGTTGTTGTCTATTTAGTTTATGAATTTGACGTGTAAAAAAAAAAGAGACACGGTCCATCACGCTCTCTATTTTAGAGGGTCTATTAAACAGCATAACTCAGCATTTTATTTTTTTTTCCTTTTTATTCATTTTTTTCTTATTTTTTATTTTCTTTTATGCTTTCTCTTTTATTCGTGCTCAAACTTCTTCTTACGTGGAAACTGATTTCTTTATCATGCATTGGAGAGCCATTTTTAAAATCTAACATCTATAAAATACACATTCAGCCACATAATCATCCACAACTTCTATTTATCAAGACACATCAACCACAATCCATGGTTGCATTGGAAGATGCTCTAAGAGCATCTCCAATGTAAACGTTGATTGCGTTAATTTATTTGACACGTCTGAAAAATTGAAAGTTAAAAATAAAAACTTTCTCCAACGCTATTGTCTGTTTAATCTGTGAGTCTGATGTGTCAAAAAGAAAAAAAAAAAAAGATATTGTCTATCATGCTCTCTACTTTCAGAGAGTCTGTTAGATAGCGTGACTCAACTTTTTAAAAGAAAAAAAAAAAAAAAAGATATGTCTATCATGCTCTCTACAAAAAAAAAAAGATATTGTCTATCATGCTCTCTACTTTCAGAGAGTCTGTTAGATAGCGTGACTCAACTTTTTATTTTTTTTTCCTATTTATTCATTTTTTTCTTATTTTTTATTTTCCTTTATGCCTTCTCCTTTATTTGCGCTCATATTTCTTCCTGCGCTAAAACTGATTTTTTCTTTGTGCATTGGAGAATCATTTTTAAAATCTAACACCTACAAATACACATTCAGCCATATCACCATCTACAACTTCTACTTATTAAAACGGATCAATTCTTTATCATGCATTGCAGAGCCATTTTTAAAATCTAACATATAAAATACACATTCAGCCACATTATCATCCACAATTTCTATTTATTAAGACACATCAACCACAATCCATGGTTGCATTGGAAGATGCTCTAAGAGTATCTCCAATGCAAACGTTGATTGCGTTAATTTATTTGCCACGTCTGAAAAATTGAAAGTTCTTGAAAAATTGAATTTAAAAATAAAAAAAACTTTCTCCAACCGTTTATGAAAGTTAAAAATAAAAACTTTCTCCAACGTTATTGTCTGTTTAATCTGTGAGTCTGATGTGTCAAAAAGAAAAAAAAAAAAAGATATTGTCTATCATGCTCCCTACTTTCAGAGAGTCTGTTAGATAGCGTGACTCAACTTTTTGTTTTTTTTTTCCTATTTATTCATTTTTTTCTTATTTTTTATTTTCCTTTATGCCTTCTCCTTTATTTGCGCTCATATTTCTTCCTGCGCTAAAACTGATTTTTTCTTTGTGCGTTGGAGAATCATTTTTAAAATCTAACACTTACAAATACACATTCAGCCATATCACCATCTACAACTTTTACTTATTAAAACGGATCAAACACAATCCACGGTTGCATTGGAGATGCTCTAAGTAAGCCACTCGCTACATAGTCACGTAGGATAAGAAGAGTATGCAATTAATCGTGTTAGAGACGTTTCCCTCTCTTAATCTTAACTTTTCTTTCTTCTTATCTTATAAATCTATGAGTATCAAAATGGTTGATAAAAATCAATAAATCAATATGAGAAATGACATTAATCTCCTTTCTTAATCTTAACTTTCTTTTTATCTCATATATCTATGAGTATCAAAATGGTTGATAAAAATCAATAAATCAATATGAGAAATGACATTAATCTCCTTTCTTAATCTTAACTTTCTTTTTATCTATGAGTATCAAAATGGTTGATAAAAATCAATAAATCAATATGAGAAATGACATTAATCTCCTTTCTTAATCTTAACTTTCTTTTTATCTCATATATCTATGAGTATCAAAATGGTTGATAAAAATCAATAAATCAATATGAGAAATGACATTAATCTCCTTTCTTAATCTTAACTTTCTTTTTATCTCATATATCTATGAGTATCAAAATGGTTGATAAAAATTTATTTGTGCTTTTTTTTTTTTGAAACCTCAAACTCAGATGACAAAGAACCTAGGAACTGATTGAAACTAAAATTAATAGATGATAGAATGACGCATGAAACCCAAATGGAGATAGCCAGGTCAGCTCCTTTGTCTCTTCCGATTGGGTATAGCTCACCATGACTTAGGTCATGAGTTTAATCCTTCACAATGCAAACTCCCTAGGAGCCAGCCCCTTTGTCTCTAAGGTCAACTAAGATTAGTTGAGTTCGCGCATGAGCTCACAAGTAAATATGTTACAAGGTTATAATAGATCCTTCAAAAAGTTTAAAGAGTTACAAAGAGAATAAAAGAAGTTTACAGTCAAATTTGTGCACTAGAGCTTTTATTTTATTCCAATGTAATTTTAGAATGATTTGAATGGTTAGTTCAACAATTCATAGAATTTGGATAATATATAGTAAGTGCAACTCGAACGAGATTGTTGATTGTAGCTTATCTAATTGTCAAATCAGATAAATGGACAGTTGAATAACAATATCTTCTCTAATGATATTGTCTATGAAATATGTTAAGTTGTGCAAAAAAAAAAAAAAAGACACTGTAAACCACATCTCTACTTTTAGAAGATGCGACTCAACTATTTAATTCCTTTTTTCACTATTAATTTTGTTTTCCTTTTCCGCCGTCTTCTCTTCACCGTTAACAACTTCTATTTAATATGCCACGTAATCCACAATCTACGGTCACATTGGAGTTGATCTAATTTTAGCTGTTTTTTTGTTTAATTTTTGTTAAAGGATGAGGACTTTAAGTGAATATATTAATTAAGAAAACCAACCGTGTAATGACTAGTAAGTACGGAAACGGCAGCGTTGCCCTTCATGTCTATTTTTTTTTTTATTATTATTATGCATTCGTCCGCAGTACGACTCCAGATACGATGAAGGAATACACTCGAGATACATATACATAAATAAATTCTTTAAGTAGACTTCAAGAATTAAGACCTTTCTTCTCAATCTATCGCACGCGCAAACAAAACCCTAGAACGAGCTCAGACCAATGGATCCTCAACCAGAGCCGGTAAGCTACATCTGTGGAGGTATGCGATTCGTGATTTTCAAAATTTTGTTTGTACCGATTAACAGAGAATTGACTGTTTCTGTTTTGGGGCTTTAGATTGTGGAATGGAAAATACTCTAAAGCCAGGAGATGTTATCCAATGCCGAGAGTGCGGTTACCGTATTCTCTACAAAAAACGCACCCGTAGAAGTATGCAATTTTATTTCGCCCTTTGTTATTTAATTATTTTAGTTTATCGGTTACCGTATTCAAAATCTTATCAGCATTTCTGTGAATTCTTATTTGGATTGTCTTTATAGATTATCTTTTAGGAATATTTATTTGATAATTTAGGCCTGAAAGAAGGAGATTTATGTATCTTGAGACTGTATATGCATATTTGAGAAGTGGGTAAGTAGAGATATTTGGAACAGGATTGACAAAGGAAAGCAAGGGTGGGGAAAATAAAAGTAGGAATGAAGTATAAGTTGAAAATTGGAACAATCATTGTAGTTGATGCTAAAAAGCAAGGGAACTAAGTGTTAACGGTTATATCAACAAAAAGTTTGTCTTTGGCTGTGATGAGATTTGGTGGATCATCAAAATGAGGGGGCTCTAGACCTATGTAAGCCCCTTTATTTTGGCAGCTCTTGTTTGTAGCCTATATATTAAATAAAATAATTTGTTGGAACAAGTAATTCAGTTATCAAAGGATGGAAATTAAAGTAGCAAATGCAATTTTGTGAAATCAGTTGGTTTTATTTGTCAACAGTATTTCAGGTTGAAACTTAGAGGTACTTAATCATGACATTTTGATAAAAAATTTATTACCTATTTTATTTTGTTTTATTTTGATTTCTTTTTTTTTTTTTTTTAAGAAGTTTCTTTATGGTGCCGGCCACAATTTGCAACATACTGACATGTTTACAATGCAACAGTTGTAACCATGCATTTAGTGCTTGTTTCTTGTTTGGCCTTTATATCCTTTCATAGACACTTCTCCCACATGTATATTTTACATGTCTAGATTTCAGCAAAATCTTATGGTTTGTCTGATGCAGACTCCCTTGACTCTTAAGACTTATCAGTGCTTAATCATTTGGTTTAACACAAAAAGTTTGCCTCTTGCAGTTGTTCAGTATGAAGCTCGCTGAGGTCAGATGAAGATGTTGATTTTGTTGATGGAGGATAGAGAATGTGTTTGTCTCTGTTAATGGAGAATGTCTTTGTTGCACTGCAACTAGTAGATGTATTCGGTTTTTCTATAGTTCAAGAGAAACTCTAACAGCTATTGATATTATTACTGGTTTGATAAAGTTTATATGGAAGTATCACATTAATGCTGGATGACTAATGTCTATATGACATCTGTGAATGGTTAAATGGTTTAAAAGTTTGTGCTTGTATAGTGCCTAAATGATTTTATTTATGTGTTTGGTTTTTCTGTTGTTGTTCAAGAGAGAACATGTAAGAGCTATAATTCTGGATGATTAATGTTTGTATGACGTCTGTGAATGGTTAAATGGTTTAAAGTTTGAATTGAGCTTGAGTTTTAGGATTCTCTTGTTGTGATCATTGCTTGCTAACTCTCTTTTATCATTTCTCATCTCAAGAAATGGTTTTGGATGGTTGGTATAGCTATAGATTATTGCACCTGTTGTTTTGGCTCTATAACTTTATGAGATATTAGTTAATAGTTTTGGATTTCTGTTGTATTTAGTTTAGGTGACTATTGGTATTTTGATCAGATTTTTTTATTCAAGTTATCAAGTTAGGTTGGGTGTATATGTAGGGTCTACTGGCTTGGGTTAGTACTTGGATAAAATAAGTTTTCCCTGGACATTATTAATTAATAAAATATAATCTTTTTGATGATAAAAAAAAAAAAAGGTTTGAATTTTGTGCTTGTGCGTGGTGGCTAATTTTGCACGATCATTTCATTGATGTTGTATGGATGTGGTTAAATGTCAATGGTCATTTTATACCATCTTTGCTCTGTTGAAGATTTGTGATCTGAAAAATTCACTAGTAAAGAAGCCTACATTGGATGAACAATTGACAAGTGGGGCGTTCTGCTACTTCTTGTCAATACCTCTCCTATCTTGCAGCGAGAAGTGAATAACAGACTTTTATTTATAGAAGCTACAGTATTTTCAATGTAAATGTATGTGGTTTATTGTTTCAGTTTTTTGTTATATTTTTGTCATTTAATCCCATTATTTACCAGGAAATCCCTGCTGCTTAAGCTGAATTCTATTTTCAATTATTCACTTCATGTGATGGAAGGATATGTCTTCCCAGAAATACCCCTGTAAACTAGTTTTCTGCGAATTCTGTTAACGTTTTGCAGCAGGGTTTAAATGTCAAAAATAAGCCAAAGGAAAAAAAAAGAAATAGAATCCATTTTAATTTCCTTTTCTTTTAATGATCAAAATTAATTGGATTAAAACGGTTCAGTTAAATTATTAATTTAGTTAAATTTGGTTAGGTTAGAAAATTTCAGTTAAAAATATTATTTCAATTGATAGAATAGACCAAATATTCGCCCTAATCACAATAATATTTAAGTTGTCAAAAATAAAAAAAAATAAAAAGAAATTGAACTGGCATGATATGATTCAAACTGATAAGACACACTTGAATTCATAATAAATTTCAAACATCAAAATCCATTTAGAAGAATCCTTTAGAGAAAATAACATCAACGAACTAAGAAAGATGGCATAATTTTAGGATAACACTGTATTAGTATTAATAGTGGCACTGGCCAGCTTGGACACAATAAGTATCACCTTTATTGTTTTATTGTAGCCATAAGCTCTTTGAAATTACATATTAAGAACACTGGACCAAAGATTCGACTGAGTTGAAATTAAATTGAGAATCCCAAGCATAGGTGAAACTGAATGATTCGAATCCGTGAAGAACACCTGAATTAACTTTTACCACGCACTTTCCACCCTCCAAGGCGATGATTGAAGGGTTAAGTTTTTCTGTAGTTTGAAATCCATTGCAACCTATTGCAATAGAGGTTCGAGTACACACACAGTTATTTTTTACAGTCACTTTCCACTCTGGCTTGTTTCCCACTTTCACTCCTGTTGCCGATTGTGTAATTACAAAATTTGAATTATTATCACATTGTTGGCCATTCCCTGCAAGTTTACAACATAAAAAAAATGATGTTAATTGAAATTTAATTTTATAAATTTGTTTAAACTGCTATTCAAAACTTAACGAAAAATATTTTTTGAGTGAATTTACCATTTTCTTCTAAGATAACACTTAATATATATACACGACACAAAAACAGGGACAGGACAAACTATTTATTCGTTTATCAAAATAATTACAATTTTGTAGTTTAGCAAAATTTTCAATTTGCGAACAGTTAAATAATGGCTTTAAACTAATTTTCAAATAATTTGAAAAAAAAAAAATCTGAATGCAAAATGAGATCATAATAATATATATTTTGATAAAATATTTTATAGGAAAAAAGAAAAAACAATAATAAAGTGGGCAAAAAAAGAAAAAGGTAAAGAACTTTACCTTGGCTGACAAGGATGAGGAACAAAAGTGCAGATAGAGCATGAATGAAGTTGGCCATTGCAAATGCACAATATTTTTGAACTAGCCTCTCTTTTTGCTTATGTTGAACAAGAATGATTAGCAAGGAGCAATTAAGGGGTATTTATACAAGTTTTCTGATATACATTTTTTTTTTCCTTTTTTAGAACAAAATCATTCTCTGAGATACATTTCTAAATATATTTTATATGCATTAATATTATTGAGATGCAATTTAATTTGAGAAATCATTTACGACAATTAAGGCAAGATTTATTCTTAGTTTCTCTTTACATTATGGGAAGAAATTTAAAAATTTACCATTTTTTTAAATTCGTAATTTTTGTTATTACTTAATTTAGCGGTCTTGGTTAATTGCCGGCCAAGCTATTAGTTATTAGTTAACGATGCATGCTGCAAAAAATTATATTTTCTGCATTATATATATAATGACTGTGCAAAACACACATATGGGAAGTCTTATATCGTATGAGATGGTGACAGAACATACCACAAAATATACCATTATATTTAGATTATGTTAACCTTATAAAATATTTACTAAATTTTCTTTCAAACTAATAGTTTTATAATCATTTTGATAATTATTTGAAAACAATAAATAGCTATAAAATATTATTATAAAAAATTCATTAGTATTTTTATTTATATACCATATTTGAATAAGAAATGACATATTTATCATAAAAAAGCCATATATATATATATATAATACATATCAAAAAGAAAAACAATCATTTTATATTTCAACGGAAGCCGTAATGTAAGCCGTAATGAAATTGAAACCGTTGTAAATTGATTGGTTAAGGACTTCATGTTGCTCTTTGCTTCCTTTTATAGTCCACGGAAAAAAAAAAAAAAAAAAAAATTAAAAAATATTATTTATAAAATTCATTAGTTATTGTATTTATATTTACATATTTGAATAAGAAATGACATATTTTTTATTCATTAAAAAAGCCACATATATATATATATATAATTAATAGTCAAAAAAAGAAAAACAATCCATTTATATTTCAACGGAATAGCCAATGTAAGCCGTAATGAAATTGAAACCCGCTTTGTAAATTGATTTGGTAAGACTCATGTGCTCTTGCGTTCCTTTTTATAGTCCACGGAAAAAAAAAGAAAAAAAAAAAGATTCTTTCTTTCCCCATTTCTCCAGATTATTTGGTGCACAACTTTGATGTGAGGTCACCTTCCATAACGTTAATGTAGCCAGAAAATTCATTGGGAGTTTACTTATTTTAATTAATTTACAAAAATAATACATACAAAAAAAAAAAAAAAAAAAAAAGAAAAAAAAAAAAAAAAAAAAGTAAATGAGATTCTTTATAAAAGAAGTAAACTATTATAATTGAATTACAATAAAACTCGCTCATTTTTAATTGATTGGAATCTGTTTTTAATAACTAGTTTTTTTATATGACATACATTATACGTTAATTATGTTCGTTATATACTATTTTTTATCTATATAATATTAAATTACAAGTTTTGTATAGATCAAAATAAATATAAGTAGTTAATTTGTATTTTACTTTGTTGTATAAAATACTTGCAATGATTTTTTATGTACTTAATTCTATTTTTATATAATGAAGTGATCTTAGGATAAAGTTCAACCCTACACCTAGATCTAATCTTTTAATCCCTAATTTATAAATACAGATTTTGGAAATCCTAATAGTGCCCAAAAATAAAATCAAATCATCATTCAATCTCCAACCCCCTGCCCTCAATCCTGAATCAATATCTATAATTTATTGTAGTAAAAGAAAAAAAAATGAAAAACTAATTTGAATTGATAATGAAAATCACTTTGGTTGCAATCGCAATGCTAGATAAAAGAAAAGAAATAAAAAAATGATCTGAATTGATAATGGAAATTACTTTAACTACAGTCACAGTATTACTTACCTAGTTTTTCAAAAAAATGAATATATGCATATACACACAAATTCTTGAAATCTCAATTCAATGATTTTTTATCTTCAAAAAATAAATATGCAAAACTAATTCAATGATTTTTTATCTTCAAAAAATAAATAAGTAAATAAATAAATATGACATAATTTTAGGATATCAATTTATTGATGTTAATAATGATAATAACCAACTGGAATACAATAATTATCACTTTGAAATTACATATATATTAAGAACATTGAACAATGATTTTTTATCTTCAAAAAATAAATAAGTAAATAAATAAATATGACATAATTTTAGGATATCAATTTATTGATGTTAATAATGATAATAACCAACTGGAATACAATAATTATCACTTTGAAATTACATATATATTAAGAACATTGAACATAACCTTGAACTAATTTGAAATTAAATTGGGAATCCCAAGCATAGGTGAAACTGAATGATTCGTATCCTTGAAGAAGCCCTCCATTAACTTTCACTACACATTTGTCACCCTCCACAGCAATGATTGAAGGGTTAAGTTTTTCTGTAGTTTGAAATCCAGTGCAGCCTAATGCAACAGAGGCTCGACTACACAAACAATCATTTTTTACTGTCACTTTCCATTCTGGCTTATTTCCTACTTTCACTCCTGTTGGAGCTTGTGTAATTACAAAACTTGACTCTTCATCACATTGTTTCCCATTCCCTGCAAATTTACAACATAGAACAAAATAATGTTAATTTACCATTTTTTTTTTTAATATAACACTTGATAGAGTTGGAGATATGATATACCATTTATCATTTATCAAAATAATGATAATTTTATTAGTTTAACGCATTTCCCAATTTGTGAACGGTTATATAATGGTTTTAAACCAATTTTTGAAAAAAAAATTTATATTCTCAATGCAAAATGAGATCACAATAATATATCTGTAAATCAAAATATTTTATAAGAAAATTCCGATTGATGAGATGGGATGGCAATGATTTCTTTTCCCTTAACTAAAAATCTCGAGTTCAGGCTTTAGATATGGAGGTCTCTTTAAACACTTGGGAGAGATAGTTTTGTCCCACTTTGTGGGTATGCTTGGCGTGCATCTAGATTAATCGGGTCACCCCGGGCTTGTGAGGAAAAAAAGAAAAAGAAAACCAATAACTTTACCTTGGCTCACAAGAATGAGGAACAAAAGGGCACATAAAACAGGAATGAACTTGGCCATTGCAAATGCACAATATGTTGAACAAGAATGCTTAGCAGGGAGAAATTAAGGGTAGTTATACCACAGTTGAGATGCAATAACATTATTGAGATGCATTTTAATTTGAGAAATTATTTACCACAGTTGAGGTAACTTTCCTTTTAGTTTCTCTTTGCATTATGGGAAGAAATTTAAATTTTAACCATTTTATTTAAACTCACAACAATTTCATCTTTTTAAAATTTTGTTATTACTTAATTTAGCGGTTGTGGTTAATTGCCTGCGAAGTTATTACTTATTAGTTAACCATGTATGCTGCAAATTAATTATATAAATTCAAGAGATATATATAAAATAATTATGCAGAACACACATATGGCAAGTGTTATCACATATGAGTAGACTTCTAAAATATTTTTTGGATTCTATTTCTAAGTGGTAGGATTTCCTTTCATATTTCTATTCATTTATTTACTTTCCTGGTTAGTCTATGATTTTCTTTCTGCGTTTTGTAGCTACAAATACAATAGAAAAACCAATATTTTTTTCCTTTTCTTCCAGAACGATATTATTGAATGAACAAGCACGAGAGAGGTTATACATATAAAGAAAAAGGGAAGAACTTTGCACTCCCTTTTGTATAAATGATGTCAAACTGTAGAATTCATTTATATATAATACATTCATAAATTAATTTTTTATATTTAGAATAAATTTAAAATTTAAAATTTATTTTCTTTTATTTTTAAAATATCTTTTACATAATAGTTTTAGAAAGTTAGGAGAAATGAAAGTTTTGTTTAAAAGTTTTGTGTTGTTTAAGTTTATGGAATTTATTTCGATTTTTTTTTTTTTTTTTTTTTAGAAAATTAGAGAAAATGAAATTTTGTTTAAAAGTTTTTGTGTTGTTTTAAGTTTATGAGAATTTAGTTCGATTTTTTTTTTTTTGTTTTAAAAATTTGATTTAGTATAATTGTATCCTTTTATCTTGATTGATGGTTTTGAATTTTATAATATATTTATTAATTTGAATATTTCAGAATTACTAATATGGTACCTGGTTTATCGCTTTATGGGAAATCTATGCATTTTTCATGGTTGAAAGTAAATTTTTAAAGTGTATTAATTGTATGTTTATAAGAATTATGTATTTTACAAGAAATAATGTTTTATGGAATTAAATTTATATTCATAAGGTGTTGGAAAGTATTTGAGTTTGCTCTTTACTTATAGGAACAAAAAAGGATAAAAAGTCAATCGATGTTAAATTAAATCAATATTAATTTATAAAAATCAAATTAATCAAGATTTAATTTGGACTTAAAAGTTGAAATCGGATCTTTTTAATTATTTATACAAGTTTTAAGAACTAAATTGACTTGAAAAATATTAAATCTGACTTTTTATCCGTGCTAAAATTATTAATTTATAAAAATCAAAATAAATACAAGGATTAATTGGACTAAAAAGTGAAATCGGATCTTTTTAATTATTTTATACAAGTTTAAGAACTAAATTGACTGAAAATATTAAATCTGACTTTTTTATCCTGCTAAATAAATTCAGACACTAAATTGACCTTTACTTTAAAAATTTATCGCACCGAACTTTAAAGTTAACTTTGTAGTATCATTAATTTCAATTTTTTATAATAATCCAACACTTTTTAAGATAAAAAAAAATAATTTTTAAGATTTTCAATTTTAATATGTAAAATATTAATTTAGTATATGATTAATATAATTTTTGAAATAACATTTTTTTAATTATATAATAAATTATCTAATTTTAAAAGTTTATGTGTTAATTCGTCAAATAAAATATTGAATAATTTTATAAAATAAATATTTAATAAATAAAAAGTAAAAGTTGTATGGATTAATGTTTTAAGTATAATCATTTAAAAACCCAAGTAATTTTTTTTGGCCCGTAACCAGTCGTCCCGTCCCCTCAACGGGCAACAGCACCGTGAACTCGTCAGGCCATGAGCCGCGAAATACTGTCCTGAGCAAAACTCAGACAGCAAAAAATCGTTTTACGACGATATTCAGGTCCTTATGCCCACAAACATGGCCGTTAGATCAATTTTTAACGCTCCAGATCTCAGAAGAGAGTTTGAGGAAGCAGGCGTTAGCCTTCACTTTATCCCTTTCATTTGGAAGTATGATATATACTTTACTTGCCCAAATTATATCTTTCTGTTTGTTTTATGCAGTATATAATTATGCTTTAAATGGTCTTTCCTTCTTTTTTGGTTGATGGAGCTAATAAGATGCTTTTTTATTTCTTATGGATTATGGAGGTATGTCATTAAGAACCCTAATTGTGAATGGAATGAAATACCCGATTTGCCCTCAGCTGTATATCCACTCTTGCAATCAAAGTTCAAAATTTTCACTTCAACTCTTCACTCTGTCATTGAATCAAATGATGGGGTCACTACGAAACTTCTTATCAAGCTTCAGGTATTGTTTATCAATCAGAAGTTTTGCTCCATTTATTTTTTTATGTTTGAAGCATGTCTTTCTAATCTTAACTCATATCTATGTTTCCTAAAGATATAAATCATAATGTGTTTCTTCTTTTCCTGTAGAAGTAAGTACTTGCATGTGTGTCAATTCTCTTTGTTTTTTGTTAATTTGTGGTTTGATTTATAATTTTGATTAGAATGGAGCATTCGTGGAGGCTGTCATTATGAGGTATGATACTCGTTTGGGAAAATATGGTGGCAAAGCTCGTCCTGGTGGTCCAAGGTCGACATTGTGCATTTCATCCCAGGTATGACCCCTGTCTCAATTTCACTTAACAGATATTTCTTAAAGTCAGTTGTTCCTTTGGCGTGTATTTAATGTGGCACTTGAGTGAATTCTAATGGATTCCATCAATTTTCCATGTAAGTTTTAGTCAATTTATTTTGTGAAATTTGGCTCTTGGCCTGCTTTAAAAAGGACGACCATGACACTTTCTGTTCCTGATTTTAATATATGCTAATTTTGGATTATGAACTCTAATGCAGCCTAAAGAAATATGCTAGCTTCAACTTTTTCTGTTCCTGTTACAGGTTGGTTGTAAAATGGGATGCAAGTTTTGTGCAACTGGAAGCATGGGATTTAAAAGCAACCTGTCATCAGGAGAAATTGTTGAACAATTAGTTCATGCTTCTTATTTGTCCCAAATAAGGAATGTTGTTTTCATGGTAAGAGCCTTTTACTCTCTCCTGACAACATTTTGTTGCATAAAGTGTCATCTTGGTTCTAAAATACAAATCAAGAAATTATGATTGTCATTCTAAACGTAAGTATGTTAATCATCTTTGTTACAATCACTAATTTGATAGGTTTACTGCTGCTTGTCTCATTAAGCTGGTATAGAAAAGGATTATTGATTTATGGCCATGCTACTATGACTTTTGTTAATATGTAGAAAGCATATATGGCCATTGACATTGAGAATAGATGTGACATTAATGGAATGTCAGTGGGATGGCCAAGAGTTCTATGCTAAATATTTAAGTTGGCTGTAATGTCTAGGATGGTATTGAAGAAGCAGGAACATATGAACAGTTTAGAGAACATGTATTTTGCTGCAGCAAGGTGTCCTTGTGTAATGGCATGCTGCCGATAGTAGGTTTTTTATTTTATTTTTATTTTTATTTTTTTGGAGGCGAGCAGCTTTTCTTGTATGTATGTGTGAAGTTTATCGAGCCAAAGAGCCAAATAAACCCTCATAAAAATTAATCTCCAGTCCTTCTCTGGCCCAGTTTATTGAAGAAAGGCATAAATCTTGCTTTCAGAAGTAACCGATTTATGGCTTACTTGGGGGAAAATGTTTTCCCTACTTTCTGAAACTAAATATGTGCTTTTTTTTTTTCCCTTCGTCCAAAATTTTTGCTGAAATTTATTGCATGCTTTGATTTTCTACTCTTTGGCCAGGGAATGGGAGAACCATTAAATAATTATGCTGCATTGGTTGAAGCAATTCGTGTTATGCTGGGATCTCCATTTCAGCTGTCACCAAAGAGAATTACTGTGTCAACGGTACGTGTATTTGCATTGTGAAAATTTTTATTATTATTTTAGTTATTATTTTGGAGCTGTTTATAGTATAATTATTCACTGGTTAGGCTGCATATTCCTGTCCTCAAATTGATATGCTTCCTGTGAAATGTACTTTTAGTAAGATTTAGAAAATAGGCCCTTGACTGCCTATGTTTTCAAGGGTTTTTGGTAACTTCTATTTAAAAAAATGGTGAAGTATAATAGTTTAAAAGTTTGATACCACCAGTACACCAACTGTCCTGCAAGTTATGAAATTGCTTTAACATTTACGTTCTCCTAGGTGATTTAGATATATGGTAAACTAGGAACATTGCTCATATCATTTACTTCTCTTGATTTACTCATTATTTGCTTTTTGAAAGAGTATTAGGAGGTAAGCTTTATAATATGCATTCGTATACACCCACATGACCAGACATTTTAGAAAGCAGATGAAACGCATTAAATGGTTGACCCATTTAATAAAGCATGCAGGTTTATTTAGAAGTCATAAGAATTAGTTCTTCTCTGATTCCTTCTCTATTTTCACTTCTCTTCAATGTATTTGACCTGACTTTCTTGATTATGTTTCCGAAAATGTTCTCTAGGGGAACACATGATTAGGTTAAAATTGAAATGGATATTTTAATGCAGGAAATAATTATTGGTCGAATCTGATATTATGTAGGTTGGGGTCATCCATGCCATTAACAAGCTTCATAGAGATCTTCCTGGTCTGAACTTGGCTGTATCGCTGCATGCCCCAGTTCACGATATTCGCTGTCATATAATGCCTGCAGCTCGGGCTTTTCCCTTAGAAAAACTTATGGATACTCTGCAAGTGTATCAAAAAAATAGGTAAAAAACTTGCCTATTAATGTTTCTGCTGATAACTAACTCCATTTCTTTGTGCTCTTACAAGTGGACTTAATTTCCAGTCAGCAAAGAATTTTTATTGAGTACATAATGCTTGATGGAGTAAATGATGAAGAGCAACATGCCAATCAGCTTGGCAAATTGCTAGAGACATTTGAAGTGGTGAGCTATAAAATTTAAGTTTGAGCATGTTTAGAATCTATTTTATAATGGTGCTATGTGCAAGAGATTACAGGCATTTTGAATTAGTCTGTTTTCCCTTTTCAAATTTTTGTGTGGTGCCATGCATGGATTCTTACCAACTGCATTAAGACTAATCTATGTTGATTGCTTGCTTGTTGCCAAATGAAACTGTTAAAGACTCTTGAAAAGTGATACTTAGAGGAGTGATAGAGTGCCCTTTATTTTTTCCTTCTTTCCTGTTTTGCCTCTTCTAAAAAATTAAGATGCCATTTTATTTTTAAGCTTTTATCTTTTACAAATGTTCTATCGAATTCATGCCCCACGAACTTTTCCATTGATCTGTTATGCTCATTTTGGTACTTTGGTTCTACCGGATTTTCTTACACGCACACACTCATGTATACGATTTTCTATGGCAGTGGCACTGTAAATTTTTTGTTAACATTTTTAACAGTTGAATTGTAAATGCATAGTTTGTATGTTTGTATGTTTAAGTTTTCACTTTATAAACTTTGGATAGCTAATTTAGTTGTTTGTATAGTTTTCTATACAGTTGACTCTCACACTTTCTGAGCAGGTTGTGAATTTGATACCTTTCAATCCAATTGGTAGTTTGAGTAAATTCAGAACCAGTAGCGAGGAGAAAGTATCGAGATTCCAGACTATTCTTAGAGGTGTCTATAATATTCGAACAACTGTTCGCAAAGAAATGGGTCAGGACATAAGTGGTGCCTGTGGTCAGCTTGTGGTGAACTTACCTGATAGGAGGTCTGCCAAGGGAATCGATGTACTAACTGACATTGAAGACCTTCATCTTTGATGTACTGTAAACTAGTTCAGTTCTGAATTAATGGAGATTCTCTCTTTTTTTTTTTTAATATTTATTTTACTTACAGAAGGCGGTGATGTAGCTGTAATTTTTTCCAGTTCAATGTTGAGGTGTTTCGTGAATTTTTCAGGTTCCGTTTGTGACAGGTCATTTAGGTTCTATTTGTTTATGGAAAATAACTTGTATAAAAAACATTTTCTAAAATACCCAATTTTTGGGGTGTTCAGGAAAATCAGTTGAAGGAATATATTTTTCTGGTCGAAGAAAAATGAAGCAATTTTTAAGAAAAATGACTTATTTTTAAAAGAGGAAAACTCTTTTTGGTATTTTGATAAATTTATTTTAATTTTATAAATATACGGTTTTTAATTTATTAATAATTGATAGCTACACTGATCACCACTGGCTAGCATCCACTAACATTAGTCAATTATGTTTATCATTTTTTATGTAACTTTTTATTATTTTTAAGATATGAAATTTTAGTATAATAACCAAAAAAATATTTTTTTAAAACAAGTTATTTTTTAGAAACAAATAAAACTCTAAAGTTAACATTTTAAGCTATATAATAAAAACTTAAAAAAGTTTTGATTACATTACATCATTTTTCATATCCGAAATGTCGAACCCTTGAGATTTCTCTTGTACACCTAAGACACAATAGGCGATAATGCAAGAAATTTTGGGGCTACAAGAATAGAAAATCAAAAGTTGGTGTTGACAAACAGTTTGGCCAATTCAATAATGTTTCATCAACAAATTAAGGTCATAAAGACATAAAGAAATGTATTTGAAGAGCCAAAATATCACTAACAAATAACAAAATAATGTTTTCGCACTGTTCTAATTGCATATGCATATCAAAAACTCCATCCTTCGTAGCTATGAGGCCAAAAGTTCTTCAACTTTTGCAATCTGATCCTCTTCATTCTTTGCGTTTGGACTCTTATTAGCTTCATCAAACAGATCATGCTTCCATTTTTCTAGTCGGGTACCACTTGTGCGATAACCTTGCCTTCCGCTAAATCTCTCTCTTCCCCTGTAATTGCCGCCTCTACCGCCAGCACTATTATATCTTTCCTTTGAAAAGAGGCCACCCCTCTGTGCTTCTTTCTTGTCAGCTAACAAAGGTCTCTCAGATCTGTCAGAATGGCGGGGGTTACGATCCCTTTCCTCCCTCCTTTCATTTACTGATGTGGGACGATCAGGAGGACCTGGCCTTGCAGACTCAGTAGCTGCTTTCTCAGTTTTTTCAAAGTCCGCTGGCATTTTCTTCTCCCTAAATGCAGGTCTTTTCCTCGCAGGTGGTGGTGGTTCAGTCTCCATTTTGAAGAAACCATCATGGCGCCAGACATTGTCATCCCCCTTAGTTTGTGATTTCTCATCTCTTCGTCGTGAATCATAAGTTGATGACTTGTCCATTGCTCTTTCATTTCGGTCATCCTTTGAATCCCTCCATTGGCGCTCTTTAAAAGAATGGAAAAGCATGTTAGACATGAAATATGTGTGAAGCTTCCAGCCAAAATAAAATAAGGTAATATGAAAGATCATAATCTGGTGTTTAAATAGCAATATTTTGGCAAAGCAAAAGAGAAACTGAAAGGCATCCCTTGAATCTAAGACAAAGGGCATGGACCATGGACATCTCGTATTCCATGTGACAAATGCACTTCGTTACCTTTGGTAAGGATGACAAATATAAATATAACAGTAAATTTTATGTCAGAAATGTTAAATAAATTCCTCAAAGAAAGATTACCATGGGTTATTGTTATTTTCTTTTCTTTGTGTTGGTTTGAAAATACCACAAAACATATTCCAATAAGTCTTATGCATTGAACTGCACCCATTATGACGGAATAATTTCTTATTACTTTGTATATGTTCCAAACATAGAACACAAGCAAAATGACAGTAAACAATCATTTATCTTCAAAAATATATCAGAATGTATAACATACGATTTAAAGTAATCTAACCAATGCAGCAAAAGATAAACAAGAAAAACTGGAAATGGACAGAGAAATGAAAATAGAAATAAACCAAAATAACAGTAGAAATCCTCAAGTGAAATAGAGCTCACCAGTAGCTGCTCTCCTGCCAAAGCTTTGACCAACTTGCCCGGCATTACCACGCTCATCGTGCTGTTAAAAGACACGTACAGGCAAGCCTAAGATTGTTATATACAGGGACGCTTTTGAAGTCATGGGCCGGACAACAATCCCGCTACATCAGCCCAGAAAAAAAGGTTTGCATACACTGAATTGAAAACCCAAGTAATTAAGATCTAGAGAAACACTGCTCATTCACTAGTACAAGTGATCAATCTGGAGCTTGAAAAATATTCAACCTATTTTTTGGCCCCGCTTGTGAAAAAATGCACCCAGATTATTGTTGACTATTGGTATACACCGAGTTGCATAAGCATATAGCTCAATCATATTCTACTCATTTGGAAGAGTTCATGAAACAAGATTAGCTTTCACATTTTTTTTTTTTTTTTTGAAAGCATCAGCCTTCAGAAAATGCACCAATGGTGCTTTTTGACATCATGTTACAGATACTCTATTTTACTTCAAATAAAGTCTCCATTTGACTATCTCAATAAATCTATATTTTCTTGCATTTTTTTTTATTTTAGAAGCAAAAGGCAAAACAGCAATATTGGCTAGATGACAAAAGATAATCATTTAAAAGCATCAGAAAGTCCAGGAAACAAAATTATTCAGAGACCTTTTTGAGATAATATATTTACCAAGCATGCTTCTCTTTCCAAATATTGCATTTCCAAAAATGGCAGCAGACAACAGACACAGCAGAAATAAATTTAACATGAAGGCAATTTGTAGATGATTCCCCCCCCCCCCCCCCCCAAAAAAAACACCCCTTTTCCTCTCTCTAAGCTATTGTAACAATCAGCTTCAATTTAACTGTAAACAATAATTACTATTCCAGTCACATAGAGCCCAAAACATAAACCAAAAGCCAATTGTACGGTGAATTTCCGAAGCCCCAATGCCTGCTATAAAAAAAAAAAAAACACCCTTTTCTCTCTCTAAAGCTATTGTACAATCAGCTTCAATTACTGTAACAATAATTACTCCAGTCAACATAGAAGCCCAAAACATAAAACCAAAGCCAAATTGTACGGTGAATTCCGAGCCCCAATGCCTGCTATTCTAGCAGTCAAATATCAAATAAGGTTCCTTGTCTTGAACCCCAGAGGGATATATACAGTCTTTAGCATTTGCCAAAAAAGAAAATTCACATGATAGATTATTAGTAATACAATATGTTCTGTAGAAAATGATTATGATGCACTACTAGATGTTATGTGTAGGGGAATTATCAGACAAACTAATACTAGCATTTATGAGGGATGACAAAAGCCAAAATCCATCACTACATACCAATACAAAGAAATAGATTTTGACAAAAACTTAGCAGAATAAACGAAAGCAACAAACTCTAAATGATGAAAACCTGAAAATAGGATCGAGACCGAGGTACTTCAGTAGGATCAGAAAAATGTTTGCTTCCTTCATGGTGTCCATTCGTCTTCTTTTCAGATTCTTTACTGACAGCACCAGACTCCGACTTAGGATCAGGTGCTGAAGGAGCCTCCAGAGGTAATGCATCTTGCAGTCTGCGGCGGTGCTTTTGGTCCCGATCTGTATGATCTTCAACATCCAAGTTAGTCTTGCTAGTAACTCTTCCTGTCTCTGGTTTTCCATCCCTTCTGGACTTCTTAGGACTGCAACCAAATGGTGAAAGACAAAGGCCATGTTATAATTCAAAATTACAATAAGTTATTACACAGTAACAGAACACAAACCATGTGCAAGGCATTAATTCAGAATAACAATCCAACCATAAATGGTAGTTGTTCTAATAAGAAGACTTGAGGCTTTTTCCAAGTAAATATTTGAAAGTTGACACCCAGCCAGTTTTTCCCAAAGAGAGGTGAGAAACATAACATACTTAACCTAGAATTGCAATCGTGTGATAATCAAAATCTTGACATTTCCAACCAACACAAAAGGAGGGAAAGAATGCCCAAAAATACAAAAATAAAGATAATAGATTCAATACCTTCTTACAATCCTAAGCACTGAAAACAAAACAGGTGCAAATCATCCTCCTCTACCCAAGAATAATACTCTGGACGTTTCAAGACTATTAGAATCGCAAACAAAGACTACAACATATCAAATATCAGATCTCAAAACTTAACAATTTGTTGGTAATAAGCACTACATAGAAATTATTTGTCTATGGAGATTACTTTATCCAACAATTTCAATTGCAAGCAACAAATAGTAATATCTATCATCTAACAAGTTTAGACCTTTATTTGACATTAATTGCAAAACCTGAAATCTTCATCATCTAACTATCATTAAGCCAATTAACATTTAATTAAAACTTCAATTACAAATAATTCAATGAAATGTATAGACAAGTACAACAGAAATCCACATTGACATTAGACATTTTAATAAAATTTCTACACAAAAAATTCAAAACCTAGAACAATCAAGTCATCCAAGAACCCTAAACAGCAGATACCTGGGTTCTCTATCGAATCCTGAACGGCGTCGTCGAGAGTCGGAATCGCGATCGTCTCTTTCTCGTCGAGACATTGTTAAAGAGGAGAAAATTTCGAGTGAATGTAAATAGGGCTTTGCTTTCTTCTTCACTCGCAATAACGATAGCGAAGGCCCAGTGGATATACTGTGGAGCCTCTTCTTGGCAGAATAAAATTCAACATTTTCGTTTTTTGAGTAAAAAAATAAAATCAAAAATATAATGTTTTACCATAAAAAGAGATTACAAAATCCTAGTCGTTCTGTATTCATAAACAATAGTTAATAGCCATTGGATTTTACTATTTAAATTTTGACCATTAAACGATAAAATAAAATAAAAAACACTTAATTTTTGCAGGTAAAACAACTCCTAATTAACTTAAAAGTAAAAATATTTTTTAATCTATTAAATATTTATATATACCCCAAAACTATTTTGTCAACTTAATTTTGAATAATATTTAATTATTTACCACTTAAATAACATTAAATTATTTTTATAAACAATCAATTTCTTGTTTGTCCAAGTGTTTTTATTAATGCATTATTTCTTAGTTATTAATTTTTCAAAAACAATTTAAATATTTTAATTATTAATTTTAAAGATCAAAAGCAAGGACATATAAATTTATAATTAAATTTTCATAATTCTATTTAAGTAAGATTAGGAATTTTAAAGTCTATGTAATTTTTATTGTAGTTTATTTATAAATTTTTGATATATCTAGATATTCTATTGATACATTTCAAATACCTAAAATATTCCTATATTTTATAATTTATATTCTTAATATTACAAAAAAAAAATATTTATATATTTTAATATACCTAAATAGCTAATCCTTTAAAACTTAATTTTTGTGATTTTAAATATATTGTTTCTATTTTAATTAGATTCCATTTGCACTTATAAAACATTATTTATAAAAATAATTATTTTTAACAAATTATTATGAATTTCAATTATTTCTAGATATAAAAAATAATTCGAAAAATACTTTTAAGATTAATTTAACAGGAAAAATTATTTTTTTCCTAAAAAAAGCATTTTTAATTTAGACTGGAAAAAAAAAACATGCAATATTAACATCTTAATCGCTTTTTTTTTTTAATATATGCGAATCATTGTTGCATAATATTTTATATCAAAAAAATTAGTAATACTGGAAAGGAATATTTTATATTAATGAAATTTGAATTTTAAATATGTACTCTTAAGTAATTTTATAGTTGTTACTAGACTTTGGGCATGAGAAAATAATTTTTATTTTTAATCTTTATATTGAAGAGTTATATATTTTATATAATATATTTTTATATATAAAAAATAAGGGTTATAATAAAAAAAAAAGAAATAAAGAAAAGAGAAAGTAAAACTAAGAAATACGTTAAAAAGAAAAAGAAAAGAAATATTGTGAATGATGTAACTTGTTGTAACAAATTTAGATGGACAGGTGTCAAGAAAGTTGCGGTCTTTATCAATACAGATTTTTTCAATTCTGTATACTAGGAAAAACCTCAGATTTTATCTATACTAAAATTAAAAATTTTTAATTGATCATGCTTAAAAATACGTTACGATGTATCAAATTTCATTATGAATATTTTAAGGAATTCCATAATTTTTCTCCTCGCTCCTACATTAGTTTTCTCAAACGTATATTACATATTGTTTGTACTCGTTACAAGTAAATATAATTTAATTTATATACGTATTATTTTATATTAATTTATAGATATAATTTTTAATTTTTTATTATAAATTATAATCTTATGAAGAGTTAATATTACTAAAAATATAAAAGTATTCGCAAAATAAAAAAAGTATTTTATAAAATAATAAAATAAAAAACTTAATATTAAATAATTTGTAAAGGAAAGAATATATTTAATTTTAAATAAAAATAAGTGACAAATTTTATTTTTCTCTGTATATAAATAGTAATAATATAATAAGGTAAAATTTCAAAATAGAATTCTAATTAAAATTATGAAAAACTTCCCTAGTAAAATTTTTAATATGGAATTATGTATTTAATTAAGAAATACATTTTAAGATTATTTATTATTAACATTATATGAGTGAATTTAGATCAAATGTTAAACTTCCACTTTAAAAAAATTGTAAATTAAGTTAATAAAATTCCTAATTAAAGTTTCTAATTTCCTAATTAAGTTAAGATTTCTATTTTAGTTAATTAAATTTTATTTTAAATACAATAGGATAGGATTTGTACTTAGGTACCAATCAAATTAAAAGATTTTTTAAAAATAATAAATATTTAATTTATTTTTTATCCAAACAAAATAAGGATAGTTTGGAAATATATTTTGTCTTCTCATAATGGCACATATGAGTTCGAAAATATACTAGTATATATATCTTCAAAATTTTATTAAATCTATATATCAATTTCTTACCATAAATATAAGAAATTTAAAATACTTTAATCTACAGTTTTTTTTTAGTAACAGAATTTAGATTAAAATCGGAAGAATATATTCATCAAAATAAATATTTTATTATTATTATTAAGCCAACAATATTTAGATTTAAGAAAGAAACTAATTAACCAATCAAATTAAAGATTAATTAAAAATAATTTATTTTTTAGCCAATTAAATTGTCAAATTTAAACACACCCTTAGACAATCTCAATGTTCCCCTCTCCATTTCCCCACACACATATAAAATAAATTATAGATAATTAAATTTATGATCTTTCTTACTTTAATTTAATTGGCTTTCCTAAAATTAAATCTTAACTTACAATTTAATTTACGATTTTTTAACTTTAATTTGATTTGCTTCCTATAATTAATAACGATTTTATTTTGGGAAATAAATTTGATACAATTTGGATTAAAGTGGAACTATTCAAAAAAAAATTTCAGTCTTTTTTAGCCAATCAAAATAGAAGGCAATAAAAAAACTACATATTTTATTTTTTATAATAGAAAATAAAATTATGACCTTGTTGGTCCATCCTAATATTCCCCCGTCTATTCCCTTTTTATATATGTTAGATTTGGACTTGGTTAACCTCATAAAAATAATTACTAATAAAATTATTTTCTTTTGTCCAAATTAATATTTTTATGTTCATTTTATTTTTAAAAACAATAATTTTTTATGAAATATTACTTAAAAAATTTAATTAGCATTTTTATTTGTATAATACGTTAAATAAAAATAATATATTCACCTTAATAATTAAAAATATATACATTACAGGCCATAGTATACAAAAACAATTATACCCTTAACGATAATTTCATATTTTAACAACCACCACGATTAAAATTTTAGCAAACACCAATTTATTTATCATTTAACTAAGCCACTAACCACGAGTTATCAGATATCACTATCTACTATTAACTTGTATAAGCAACTAAACCAAACGAGCCTTTGGAAAAACAAACACTTTGATGTAATTATAAGTAATTTCTCTTTAAATATCTTTTTGGAAATTCAACTGCTGAAATGTTTCCTATCATCATTTTACCTAAATCCAGATTCATTTGAGTTATTAATCTGCAGACTAAAGGCTATTCTCTCTTTTCTCTTACACTATCCTTTGTTAAACAGACTCCTATGCTTTCTGATAAAAAAATCCAAATCAGTGCTTTGGCTATTTGATTAGACAATCTTTACTGCAATTAGTTGGATGAATCCAACATCAACAAAACTGCTTCTTCAGGTGAGTAGGCAGTCTAATAATAAATATTTTCTAGTTCAGCCATGAAATTAATATCTTAATTTGGGTACTAAATCCTAAGAAGGTGACCACCTTCCGTCTTATGTGTATATCTCTGCACAGCCAAACAAAAAGGAAAAGGACTAAAGTGCAGCTTAACATAGAGCAAGATCACCCAAATGGTAGCTACTGCAGAATAATTTCTAGTAAATTAAATTCAATCTGTTTGAACCTAAAGTAGTTAACACAATATGCATATATATATACATATAGATTGGTGAAACCATGGTTATGACATCAAATTATTTCCCAAAATAACGAAAATAAGGCATATTTGTACAGATAACATATCAAGACAAATAGTTCGACAGATTTGTGGAGAAAATTAGGCAACAGAATCAAGAATTTCAGCAAGTAAATAAATTGTATATACAAATATATATATCTACATTCTGGATTGTTTCCTGGTATTATGTTGTGATAGTGATCTATAAGTGAACATTAGTTAGTCATTGAGCCATTTAGCCATAATGTATCATCATACAGAAATTGTACAATAGTACAGGGTGGTACCTTTCTCCTGCTTTGGGTCTTTCTTGTCAACCAGCTGAACAGAATGCCACCTGAGCTTATAGGCAAGGGAATACTGAGAAAAATTCTTGCTTGGTGAGGTGCAGTTCTAAGATGTAAGACCGTAAGAGCGGTTCTTTAGGTTGATGCTGCTGACCAAACATGTTTCTTTTCAAACCTGGATTTCGGCTTTTGCACCATAACTTTTCAAGCAATTGGATCATGAAGATAAATCTCGATGTTTGAACCTGGTGCACCATTTTACTAGAAGCTCCTCAACATCAGCATCCATTCTAGTTCCTATGCCTCCCCAGACCAACATATGAGCAAGGTCTCCCATTGTTGAACCAGTCACTTCATGCACAGCCTTGAACCCAATTCTTCTATAGAACCTAACAAGCTAGTAAATGAAGAAATCAGATGAGATGAAGAACGATTAATTGATTCAGCCAATGGGTAAAGATTCTTATTGCTAAAACATCCAATAATATAATTGAAATTCATTGACGATGACTCCCTTGGTTATGTATTTCGGTTTTTTTGCTTTTATTTTCTTAGATAGCCTCAAACTGGAGTTAGAACTGGCAATCTTATAGTCCTGGAGACAAACACAGATTTTGCCAAATCTCCTTTTTCCATCACAACTCACAGCTATCAAAACCAGAAAAAAGAATCCGAAGGAAGAGAACACTTTCAATTTAGAAATAATGAGAATTCAAACATGGACACATTCATATTAAGAAAATGACAAAAAATTATCCACCTACAAGCTCTACTTTGATTTAATAAATTCAAAAAGAGAAGCAAAAGGGAAAGCAAGAAAGAACCTTAGAATGGTAAAGATTAGAGTCATTAATAGCAAGCAACTCTGCGATCCTACATCCACAATTATATCCGTATCTGACAGCAACAGCTCCAATAAACAATCCAATACCAAAAATTGATTTCTCCATACCAAGTGTTTCTCTTCTCAACCTAATTGAATCCAAGTGAAGAATTTTGCCTTTTAACCAAACCCTAATCAGCCCCTCAGCTCTACCAAGCTCATTTTGGGTTTCAAGACTTTTGGCTGTGATTCTGAAGAAGGGTCCTAATGTTTTTAGCTGGAGATCAAGGTTTTGGGCTTTTGCTGAAGCTAAAATGTCAGCCATTGTTGGTGTAGCTATATCTTTGATATTTTCACTATTTTTATATTGAATTGTGCTGTTTTTGAGAGAATTCAAATGGGTTATTGCTAGTATTCTTGAATTTGGTAAAGATATTTTGGAGCTAGGAGTTACAGGTGTCATTGCCATTATATTTTGATTAACTGTGAGAGAAGCTCAGATTTGCAGAGTAGAGTAGGAGAATTTGAATGGCAAATTTTGTGACCTGGGAATGCGCTTGTGGTTGCTAGGGAATTTCTACGTTTCAGCTAATGGACGTGTAAACGTGGCCAACACTAGAAATTGATAAGTGGAGATAATATCATAATATTGCATTATTGTAACTTTTAAGATATAAAATATAATTATTGTAATTACAAAGACAGCTTAATCTAGTTATATAAAATATAAAATATAATTATTGCATTAATGGTAGAAAAGGAAACATGTCTTTTATGCTCCGTTGGCAGTTAAATCCTCGACAGTAGAATTATTAAGCAGAAAGTTCTTCAACATTTTCAGGAGGAAAATTCCAAACCAAGCCAAGTCACGCAAGGCAATGTAAAAGCTGATCAAGAAAGATCCTTCAAACTCCAGCTATTCAATTATGAATTTGAACTATTAAATCAGAAATAAATCACACTGCAGTTAATAAATCAGTAAAATTAAAATTGAATAAATGAGATGTTGCTATGCTAATGTACAATTTCAATATATACAAGCCTAAAAACAAAAACAAAATGAGAAATACACTGCTAGAATTTTTGATTGCTTTTGACAAAGAACATATCAATGGATAAATGATTGTCTTTCAATGGAGATGGCTTGTGCTTCTTACAACTGCTTCGGCCAGATACATCGGTGGTCTTCTTCGAAACAAGCCTGTAAAGATCAGGCTGATCAGATCAAATGCAATATTTTATATAAAAGAGTACCTTTAGCATTGAAACTTAGAAGCAATTATTTTGAGCCAATGGATAAACTTTTGAAGGCAATAAGGTGATTGAAAACTTTCGACTACAAACTTCTTCCGAAATCAGTTTTAGACTCATAAAACCCATGTTGCAAGAAGCTATTATGCATTAGCCTAAAAGAATTCTTGACTTTTGACTCAAACCTGCTTTTAGCAATAAAAATATCAAATTAGCTCCAAGTATATTCATAAATAAAAAGTTATTCAACTCTAATGCCCAACCAGTTGCACTTCCCCCTTTAAAAAGCATATAAGGTCGATTTTGCTTCTATGTTCAAGCTAAAGTCATCAAATGGTTTAGAGAAGTTGGTTGCTTCTATTATGTAATCCAATAATCAGGTAAGTATATATCATGGAGTACCTTTGCCTCCGCATAGGAGTTCTTGAGTTGATGCTAGATTCCTCCTTTTGAAGTCTCTCAGCAAGATGAAAATCCGAGTGTTCTTGTCTTTCCTCAATAAAATCTGGTGGCATTTGAATCCCACATAATGAACATTTGTAGTTATCTACCCAAAAGACTGCTGCATTGTCCATGATGACTGCCTTATTTACTATGTCTGGGCTACCTCCATCAACCTGCTGAGGCAAAGACGACTCTGCATCCTTCAGTTCTGACAATTCAGTGTGACAACATTCTGAATCAAACCTTCCAGTATCCACAGTATTCCCCTACATAAATGCCAAAAAGCATGATTAAGCTAAATGGAAAAATGAAAATCAAGATTGTGTACCGAACTTTGTGTTTCACAATCAAACATACATCGCTGCTCAAAGATTCATGAACTTCCTCTGCTTCACCATTATTACTGATTGTGAAATGGCGATCATCCAGATCTTCTACATTATTGCTGTCTAAGGGATTCCTAATTTCATTGTGATGAATATCATGGCTGCCAGTTGAAAAGGCCTCTTCTATGTCACCCATGAAGTGTTGATCACTACAATCTGAGCTCATATTTTTTCTAGATGCATCTCCTGATACAATAAAGTCGGTGAGAGTTTTTTGTGTTGGGTCAGATGGAGTACCAACCTTGTCTTCATTGAAATGTGACACCCGCAAGCCTAATATAGGAATGCAAACACTTTGTTATTCTATAAGCACCATAAAGGTGATTAAGTTTTTCCAAGGTTACCGATAAACCCAACCCTGTCCCAGTAATACATATGCATATTCATGCAGAGGCACATGCATATCAGACATGATATATGTACAATCACCCACTAAATGAAAATATAGTATTAACCAGCGCATGAAATCCTTCCTACCCATTAGTCTTAAAGAAATAGGAAGTTCAGCCTTCAGCAGCTTTGAAGCATATTTCAATATGTCTTCACTTGAACAAATATATTTTTGTAGTGTCACAGCTCTGGTTCGAACCTAAGGAATAAGATCTGTCAATGAACTTCAGAATATGAATGGCAAATGAATGGAACTACAAAAACAACTCTAGTAAGGAATTGGAATAAGAAACTACTAAAGGAGAATCTAGTGCAAAGGAAAAGGTCTCCGTCCTCTGCTAATCAAAGTAGAACAGCATGTATTTATGTCTTTGGAGAAGTTATTTCTTGCAAAATGCTGAAGATAAGACAAGTTCCAAGATATCACACCCTCTTTTTCCAGGTCCAACTTTTGGCAGTAGATTGTTTGAATCTATAACAATTGGATCTCCTCCATCCCTCCAGCCCAACGCAGGCCTGCTCCCAATTCTTTACCCAGGCAGGTAAGAGCCATGAAAAAGAAGAGAGCCTCGCACCAGAATCACTTGAAAGGAACCTTCCAATTTGTCTCTGAGTAATTTTTCAGAAAAAAGGACTATCAGAACCTACCTCAAAAGATGCAGTTTTCAATTTGAGAGTCAATGTCCGACCACGAAGCCCTTCCTTTTCCATGTCAGTACACAGCATCTCCGCAATATCAGCTGCAACTTTAAGGAATTTTGGTTAATCTTTTTCAGATAATTCTATAGCTTCAACTATTCAGCAAAATCTGCTTGGAAGTATATTTTCAGTATGAGGACAAAAGTATAACTATTACTACACCATCAATGAGAAATACTCTTGATGACAACAAATTACTTCAGTATCATATTTAAGCAATATTTCAAACTAATCTTACATGAAATAAGCCAGAAACAAGTAACTACTTGATCTCAAAGCACTGTACGTCTATAAAATTCATTGAATGATTAAAGAAAATATTATGCAGTCGCTTACCTAATTTTTGATAAAGAAGTGCCTCATCGTCTGTGGCAGAAAATGTTCTCTCACTACTAATACTTTTCCGAAACTTGACTTGAGGGGTGTTTGTTCCTCCAAGCCCCAGTCCCACAGAGAGGAAAAAATCTGCAAGAGATCAACAAAATGAACATGAGCTGAAGAAAATGTCACCCCATTCCTTTTGCAAGAGAAGAATGCATACGTGACTATATATACTCAAATTTTAAATGTAGAAATTACATTAATGGAACAACATATGCTGCCTGATTTGTGGCCACTTTAAATTAATTTGTTCAGATCTTGTAAGATAACATTTTCAAACCTTGAAGTTTAAAATGTGCCAGTTCAACTCAACAATTTGTTCTCTTTTTTCTGATTTAATAATTGCTATATCAATAAGGTCATACTCACTCTAATCTTGATAGGATAACACTATTACCCTCACATGACAAATTTCATAGAATTTCTGCATTAGAACCATAGGAAATGTTAGAAAACTCCAACCAATGCACAAACCTGCTGAAGAGCGAGAAAATAGTGCGCAGAGGAGGCCACACTTTTGCAGCATATCCACACATGTATTTATTCCTAAAACCTCCTTTAAAACATGTTCAGTGACCTTACCAATGCCTCCAATCTGTATGGATACAAATGATGTGTGTTTCAGTAAATGTGAAAATTTATTATAATTTTATAATCATACTAAAAAATGGTTGTTCTTAATCTTCGTCAACATAAGGTGACAAATTCACTTAAATAAACCAGCAAAAGCAAATATACCTTTCTTATAGGAAGTGAGGATATAAATGTCATGACAGCCATTCTGTCATTTGGCAAAACAAACTGTCCATTGGGCTTATTTATATCTGAGCAAACCTGCAGATACACGGATAGTCAAGTGGACAAGATTTAAGGAAAAATCCTGCTCTAAAATCATATGATAAATATAAAAAATAAGGTTCTGCAAACATCTATGATTCTTTACCTAATTTATATTGTTCCATGCTGCAATTTGTACATATAATAAAGGCAACCATAAGTGTATCACATGAATAACGTATATTCGAGACATGAAGTGAATATAATCAAAGAAAAAACTATAAAAACCTATCATGTTTCATGTTGGGCTGTCAATGAAATTTCTAAAATAAGCTCAACTTCAAAAGAAAGAGAGAGAGAGAGAGAGCGAGAATGAATGAACCTAACACCATTGGATAGTCTTACCTTACTTTGCAAATATAGTTAGTCAACAATGTCTTCCATGTTTTATCAGTGATATATTTTATAAGAGATCCCTTTATATTTAACCATGGGGCTTATTACACCAACTCAACTTTCAGAAAATTTACAGCTTTGTCAAAAGGCCCCTCTTGAAGTTTCAATGCAACATACGCACTATAGATATTTCATTACTTTCACTCTCACAGTTAGAATAAATAAAAGAATACCAAATGTTAGTCCACAAGATAAAAAATTCAACAATAGTAAAGAAAACAGCTGGAAGAACCTTAGCAAGTAAGCGATTTGGAGCCACTCCAGCACTGCATGTTAGACCAGTCTCTTCATGCACAGCAGTTCTCAGTTCTTCAGCAATCTTGGCACCAAAGAAAGGAAATGAACATCAATGTTATGAAAGACATCTGACAATAAAGAAAAACATGCATGAGCATACTTCTCCACCAGCAATGCCCCTTTCTTTGCAGACATCAGTTATATCAAGATATGCTTCATCCAAACTAGCAGCCGTGAAACGGGGATCATATTTCTGGAAAACTACAGACAAACTAATGTATGTCAAAGATATAAAAAAATGACATCAATTTGCATTATAAAGTATGTAGCAAATGAGTATGTATGAGAAACATAACAACTTACCTTTTCTAGTTAAATCACTGTAATGAGTATACTTCTTGAAGTCTGTGGGAACAAAAATTAACTGTGGACATAACTTACGTGCAATGAAACCAGGCATTGCCGCACAAACTCCAAACCTACGTGCCTACAGCATATTGAATAAGAATTTCAATAAAATTTGAGGAATGAATCAGAGATGCACACAGTTAAGGTTTAATTTAAGTTTTTTGTATACTAGGATCATTTAGAAATTCAAACATGGAAAAATTTCACAGAGCAAATTCAAACCTCATAATTGGCTGTGGAGATCATAGACATGCTACCAACAGCCATTGGCTTGCCCTTTAATGAAGGGTTGCTTAACGTTTCAACAGCTGCATAAAAAGCATCCATATCTACATGTAACCAGATCCTTGAAAGATCACGCATGCCTTCCAGCTCTAAAATTCTTTTATCAGCAATCTGTGAATAGGATAAAATATAAATTGCAAGATAACGGGAAGTATCAAACCACAACAAACATAGTTACACTTTCTTCTATAGAAATTCAGCATTGGACCTAAGTAAGCTTCTTTCCGAGTGAATCTTCTATATAACAGGAAAAATATTTTCAATCTCAAAACTCAATCATGAAAATCATGGACCAGTTTGTGGGATCCTCTCTTCAAATGGTCCATGAATTTCATCTTTCCAAATTCGTGCATGAATCCCAAAACAATTTGCAACACTAAATCTATCATTTTATTCATATCCCTAAAAACAGGTGAAACTTAAATCTCATATCTTTATTACTAACTAATAAAATAATCAAAATGAGCGCATGCAAACAAAATAGGCCTCTTCAGCTTTACCAACTGGTAATGAGAGATATCAGCTGCAGTGAGTTTCGCACACTGGACACGCATTTTTTCAATTTTCTGCCTCATATAAGCCTCTTTCCTTTCCTCATTCTCAAAATACTTTGATCCCTTACTCATTTCATATACTATTCTTTGCACTTTCTCTTTATCCACTTCCTCCATACCTAAAAATCACACAATTTCACTCAATTCAGTAACAACTTCACAAAATCATTAGGATTTTTATCAATCAAAAACCTTCTATAATTGTTATAATTGTGAATAAAGCTAGAAAATCTGATAGTAATGGTGAAACTCGTTGATTATCAAGGAGAACTAGAAAAGTCCAGAATCAATTGAAAAATTACCTGCTTTAGCGTTAGTGTAAACTGTATGATACGATTGCCATGGCTTTGGATTTTCTCCAGATGACGATGTCGTTTCATTATTCTCCATTTGTGCCTCTCTGGCTCTTTCTTCTTCGCTTTGATTCAAAAAGCTTGCTCGACAAGAAGAAAAGGGAAATTTGCGAAATCTATATATATAATATAGACAGAGAGACGAGTATCACACCATAGTAGCAGAAAAAGGCTGAATACAAGAACTAACCTTTAACTTTTGATTTGAGATATACTTAAGGGCTAAGGCAATAATTTTTATATTTTTAAACTATTTAATAAGTAAAAATTGATTTAATTTTTATAAATTATAGTATTCAATAAAAAAAATTACTAATTAAAGTGTTTGAATAGATGTAATTTTATAAGTTAAGTATTTAATATACCAAAATAAAAATTAAGAATGTAATAAAGTTAAAATAATAAATTTCAACAGTGAATTTATATATGCAACTTCGTTTAAAAAGGAAATTAAATAAAATAATAAAAAAATAATAAAATTTATTTTACATTAAATAATGCAATTTTTGCATTAATTAATTATTATTTTTCTCAAATTTGGAGAGATTTTAATTTTATGGACCCAAACTTTTGATATTGTTCTCACCCTTTTTCAAATAAAGAAAAATTAGTTTCCCCTAATGTTTTTTTCTCACATATTTTCTTTTCATGAAAAATCTCATTTTCAAATAAATAAGTCACTTCGAAACCATTGGAAGAAACCAAAAAAGAATAATAATAAACAAAAGCTTTAACTAGGCTTTTGTGGAAATTTTGGAATCTATTTAAGAGTTTTGTTAGGAGTAAACATACAACACAGCAAAATATATTTAGTTTGATTTTTCAGTTTGCTAAATTTAAATTAATTAATTTGGTTTGATTCATGGATTTGAATAATTTAATTTTCGGTCTTCAATTTTCAGTTTACAGTTTTCTATTTAGGGGTATAATGTCATTTTTAATTTAGTTTAAGTTATTTTCAAAGGATATACCCGTTGGCGGAGGGAGGGCAAAGGCAGCCCCGCCTCTTCTCTAAAAACATTTTAAAAAATTTATCCTCCAGATTTCTGAAAATTTTTAATTTTATCTCTTAAAATATGTATTTTTTTAAAAATTTTACTCCTAACTTAAAAAAAAAAAAAATCCGCACCCTTTATCTTCCTACATATATAACACGACGGATTCTTGACTTGTGAGGTATGTCGACATATCTTTAATATAAAGTCATCCCACGGGCTGAACTATACGGATCATAACAACTACATTTTAAAACGAACTTAATATTTTTTTTTTTTTTGTTAAACTTATATCCCAAATTCATTTTGATTAAAATCAGACAATTAAAAGTTATTATTTATGGGATCCACTAGCCAATCCATTGACCTAAGTGATGTATTTTTTTTTATATATATATATATAAAGCATGCAAATTTTCCTTTGTACTGCAACTTAAATTTCTAAATAAGTAACATGTATAATTTTATAATTATTTGACTTTATATTTATTTAAATTTCAGTGCTTTAATTATTTATTTTTATATTTATTTAAAAATAAACTGAATTTGTGATTGTTTATTGACTGATTTAAATTATGTTAATTATAATTTATTAGTACAAGGTTAGAAAAATAATAGCATATTACCTAAGTAACTTATATAGTTTTTAATGATATAAATAAATTCCTTAATTTATGGATTTAAATCATAGCATGGTCATTGTTTTATATTAAGTTTAAAATAAATAATTTGGAAGTAAATTGAATAATTATTTATTTTTTGAATTAAATTAGATTATGGTGGAGTTTATCATATTTAAAATGAATTACTTAATTTGTAGATTTTGATGATGTTAGAAGTTATTTTTTTATTAATTATAAAATAAATCAAACTAATTAATTATCCTTTTATTTCATTTTTTTATTTATCTTTATAAATTCCGCTATTTTCAATAAATATTTATCTACTCATTTTCATTCTCATTATTAAAAAATCATAAATGCATTTATTATTATTCATTTAGCTTTATTTATATATTCTAATAGCATAATATAAACAAATTTTACTAAAGAATCTATCAACAAGCTATATACATAAAAAAATCATTTGATGTTATACAGTTTTCTCTCACTTTTTCTTTCAAAATCTAAAACATAAAAGCTTTTTTCTCTTCTCCAATGAACGACCACCAGTGCGCTCTCATCAGTGGTCATCCATTTCCCTTTTTTGTTTGTTTTTTTTTTGCAAATAATTTCCATACCTCTATATATAGATATAAGTTATTATCGCCCAAATATTTAGATTTATTGTTGTCCATATTCTGTAGAAAGTTCATGGAATCGAATAGTGACCATGAATAATCACCAAGTGAAGCAAGCGATTGCTTATGGTATAAATATTATATTTTGTCAATTCGATAAAATAGTTCAAATCAAGATGGTATTTTTTTTTATTTTTTTATATAAGTGGTTTATTATTGGACTTCGTATATAAAAATATATAAACATATTGATCTATATCTCATATCTGTATACAGTTTTCACTTAATGAAATTTTTAGTAAAATTTCTTTTAAAAAAAAAAATCTATGTACATTCTAGCATATACATATATACTTAGCTTGATATCTAAGGCATGTAGAAGTGCGTTTGGATTTTATATGTTAAATGCATAAATATATTCTTGTACTTTACAAAAAATATTTTGTGGCATCTCAAACTTTACGAGTGACCTATTATGTCCCTAAAATTATGAATTTTGCTAATATCGTACCCCTCTTTATACTAATAATATTTTTTTTTTTGATATTTTTGTCATTTCTGTGCAATATATTCACTTAATGTGTGTTCTATACTTTTGGAATAATAATTTTCATATTTTTCAATATAAGTGTTTAATTAATCTAATATTAAAACTTTGAGTATTCAATAGAATAATATTTATAAGCTGAAGTATTTAATTTAATAATTTTATAAATTAAATATTCAATATGTCAAAATAAATGTTATGAGTGCAACAATGTTTTTTTACATAAAGTATAAGGGCGAATTTATATATTTTACCGATTTTGTATTACGTTGTCATAAACACACACATGTTGTCATAATGCAATGTTTAGAAAAGGGATGAAGTAAAATAAAGCTAGAAGTAAAATAAGGCTGGAAAATGATAATATTCTGTAACACTGTCACGATCCGTTTCCGTGGGTCGGACCGGCACTAGGGCCCAGGTAAGCTTAAGGCCCCTGAGGCCCGTAGTAAGCCTGAAACACTAGAATCTCCCCTGAGGCCCGTAGTTAAAGCCTGAACACTAGGAATCTATATTCTCGGTATAAATCAACATTCAGCCCATATGATATGGAAAATTAAAACCTCACATTATTATTAGTCTCGGCCAAGTTTATCTTCTACAGCATTCTATAGTTCGGGGCCCAGTTTTACAATACATCACATTCTAATATGGCTTACAGAATATTTTTGTCTATTGTTAATTCACGCACTAAATATATGTTTAAATCTAACAACTGCGGAGTCACTAACTCTTTGGTATACAATTAAGCTTTTTATACACCATAATTACATAGTGAAATTATTATGGAACTAGGAAATTTCACTATTGGCCCTGCGCCGAAAAAACATAGCCTAAATCGATTAAAGAAAAACTTACTTCTAAAAAATCAAACAAGACATGTGGAGTTTTTCTAAGGAGTAATTAATTATGCCACAAACACCACGCAAGTCACACAAATGTGTAAACATATCAATCTAGTTCCATCCGGACTAGTTATATGCTCACGCAGTCAGTTCACCACAAATGGCATGTCACCAGCACTCACAAACAATATTACCTTCAAATAATCACATCACGGGAAATTAGGTCAGTGGAGTCACCGAACCCCGATAAGCCCGTCCTCCCACATGGCTCATTCTCTCACGTGTGCACCAGGGAGCCGATCCCCCATACTGGCCGACCGGTCTAAACCTCACTTGACCAGCACCTCTCATTGTTTTTTCCATTCTTCTCTTTCTTTCCATACCAACAGGAGGCCAACCCGGTGGTCTTCCATCCAAATCCTAGGAATCATTCAAAGCGCTCACAACAGGGAGGCCACCCTGCGGGCTGCAATCAAATCTAGATTTCAGGTGCGCAACAACAACGCCATCCTGTGGTTTTTCAGAATAAACAGGAATTATCAGGTGCACACGAGGGCGCCGATCTCCCATTTTACCCGGCTTAACAGAAACAGAATCAAGCATCCATAAACAGAATCAGAATATTACGAAATCAGAATCAGGATCCGTATAACAGAAACAGTCCTCACAAAACCCATGGCTGGACCCACTTCATCCCAATTCCACACAAGCAAAAGACAACAAGCAATATCACAACACAAACTAATCAAACATTGCAATCGAATGCAAACATATTAATCAATTAGGACATCCAACATCAAATGCAAAAATAAATAAAGTAAATAGTTTAACAATAAAACAATAATAATAAAATAAATTAATAATAATTGATAAACAATAACTATAAATAAATAAATAAATACTGGAATACTTAAAATGAATAATAATGAATAAACAAATAATTTAACAGTTACTTTTATATTATTATGTATCCAAATTTATAGAATTTATTTAAATAAACTTATTAATTATATTATTAATTAAAACTAATCTAAGTTCTATCGAAATTTCGGCAACATCTCCCCTAAAAATGGGATTGATTATCTACCTGCTTAAATATCAACAATATTATACCCATCAACCATTACACACACAGCCCATCCATCGGGCAATCAAACAAATTAATTTCCCTTCCTCCGTCCAAAATAATCACATCAACATTTAATCGTCAATGTCAAGCTTCAACTTATTATATAACATTAAGTAAATAAATAAATAAGCAAATAAGTGAAAAATAGCTATTTATTTAACCTCCACACATAAGTCAATGATACTACTAATTGCTCTAAAACTATTCACTTGTCTAGGCCTTAATTTATAACTTCTCCTAACAATATTTATCCAAGTTCCTAAATTAGCTTACATCAATATTATACCGATTGCTTCTTAACAAAATTATATTTGTTAACCGTGTGTCAATTATAATTAAAAATTTTTACACATCAAAATAGTAAGAAAATCTTAAAAGTACACTCGTTATATATATTTGTCCTTCTAAAACAACACAAGATCTC